AGACCAATCCAAACTTTCCTAACATAAACATTTCTGTCTACATTTGTTCATTTTCCATTATAAATATGTGAATCTCTCCCATTCAAAAAAGTTTATTTAACCATCTCTTGTTAAATGCTGAAGTTCTTAACCAATATTTTATACTTGGTATCATATCCTACTCATTCTTTTTCTCAATGAATTTAAGAGCTATGATTATGGCACATTCATGTTTGGGATATATCCACCTAGCATAATGATTGTTTAAATTCTTGACATGGAATTTTAGCATGTCCACACTCACCTTTCTTCCAAGGCCTGTAAGTCAAATTTGTCTTCATGGACCCTGCTGCAGTCTAACTCAAGCATCTGAGTATGCTTAGCTTTTTGTTTTTCATATTCTAAAGGTCTGTTTACTTTTTCCTATGTAGTATTTGTACACATACTTTATTACACATTTTTGGGGGTGTGGAATAGGGACATAGTTAAACTACTAAAACTAGTTAAACTAGTAAAATCTATTATTTCATAACATAGGATCACTCGTTTATGGAGAGTAAAACAGATCTGGGTATGAATCTTCCCTTGGCCACTTGCCAGCTGTGTGCATTTATACAAGGTCACTAACTTCTCTGTGCCTTGTTTTTCTTATTTGAAAATTTGTGGAAAATAGAATTTAGTATTGCTAAGGATTCAGTGAGACAATTTTTTGAATAACACAGATTATCTGATATAGCATCGAGTGCAGTGGTTTAGCTAAAAAGAAATTGTTTTCCTACCAGGGATGTCTTGAGGTGAACATTTGATGACTGAAGGGGAAGCTCTGACAATTTCAGCACATGGCTTCCTTTGCTAAGGTAGCTGCTTTAATTGATCCAGACAACAAAAAAGTTGTTGTGATCTGGGGTTGTACATATCATTTCCTCTCCCATCCTACTGACTGACATTTAGTCCTGTAATCACATTTAGCTGCAAAGGAGTCTGAATAGTTAAGTCAGCTATGTGCTCTACTGAAACTCAGGCAGGTGGGCTTCATTACTAAACAAGGAAGGGAAGATTGGGGCCAAACAATATTCATAATGAGATCAGGATTCTGATCCCAAAAGACTGTAACTCACACTTCTGAGTTGTGAGACCTCCTGATAATTTCCCTTTGATCTCTCTAGCCCAATCCCATATATATATAGATTTGCTACACATACCTTTTCCTTCAAAGTGTTAAAACTTCTAAAGGACAGGGACTCTGTCTACATGTCTTATTTAGCTTTTAATGTGTCCCCTCATCTGCTTTACTACATTCTCTACATGAAATTTTAAAAAATCACAACGCAGGGGCATTTTATAAATTTCAGTAGTTTAAACATGACTCTAGAGAATGTGCGATTGAAGTTTGTGAACGTTCATATTTATATTAAGGTGCTACTTTTTCGGTTCTTTGTAATTAGGGTAGTCATTCTGCTTCCATCATTGGGCAGCAATCAAAAGGTAAGTAGAGCAATTAGGATGGTCTCCACCCTATGTCATTGGCCCTACAGTTTTCTAGAAGTAGTAGTTTTTGGAATTATGTAATGTCCTCTACCAATGACAACATATGAATGTTATTACATTTCCTTTTGTGACAATGTGCTGCGGTCTGGTAGTTGTGAGGGTTATGTAGGACACAATGGTAAATAAAGGAAAATTCTTAGGTTTTTAGATTTTTATTTTAAAACATAAAATTTTATAGTAATTAACATCTACGTTTAAACAGAATGATGCATTAATTAAATGCCTTGTCATAACTATTATAAGCTCTGTTAGAAAAATAGACATCTTACAACTACAGTGTCAGCTCTTTAATAAATACATAAAACAGCAGTTAGTAGTCAATCAGAATTATATGAACAGCTTCATAGTATATTATATGAAATTGTCATATTCCCCAATCCTCTGTCCTTTAAGGAGATTTAATTTTATGTATAATTCAAAGCCAGAAATAATAAGAAACTTGCTTAATGAGAATGTTTCTTACACCTATTTTATATTTAAATATTTTAATTTAAAAATATACTCTATGTTAAAAATTTTTTTACAAAGGCAACATTAATTAAATGAAACAAATAAGGTTATATCATTGATAATTTAAAAACATTTCTAAATTTTCTTTGCAGAGGTTTAAAAATGAAGTAGCTATTAAATGTAAAATAGTTCTAGTTATGTTAAATATCCAAAAATGAATTTCTATATTAATATGTGCAAATTTGTATCTTCCTATAATTTAGAATGAAAGTATTTGATATTCAATATCCTTAATAAAATTTACCCTATTTATCATTGTGTGGAATTCTTATCAAAATCCTATTTAACTGTGGTATAATATAAAGTTAATGAAAGTTCTTTAGACAAATCACAGTTTCCGTCCTTGGTAACTGCCGTGTGTGTGTGTGTGTGTGTGTGTGTGTGTGTGTGTTTAATTGTTGGGTTAAATAATTTTAAACTGAAATTAGATTGTAGAGGTTCAAACCTGATTAAAAGAGTTAGCTTAAAAGATACATTTTATGTCGGAAAGTATTTCAGGTAGATAAAAAAGTAGTGTTGTTACTCTCAGGTATTTTATTAACATCTGCCCAGATAGCTGAACAACTGTTTCATATAATTCAAATAATTTAATAACATTTTTATGACAGTCATTACATGGGCTTGAAGGTAAATTTATCAGAGCCAAAGGAAAAAAATCACTCAAAAGAAGGGAAATGTTAAAGAAGAATAAAAATGTAGAAGGACTCAAAGAGAAAGTTATTTTTTCCCCCAACAGCACTGATTGGTTGTATCATATTTTTCTCCTGTCACTGCTGTAACATATGCAAGATGCTATAAAATGTAATTATGATGTTTACATGTAATATTCTCCCACTTACTTTTGTTTAACAGAGAGATGATAATATAGAAGTATTCATTACAAAGGATAGAAAGAATAAAAAATTATTAACAAGACTAGGAGAAACCCACTCATTCTTATCAGTTAAACCAGGGTTTGCAGAAATCATAGCCTCAGGCATAAAGAGGAGGTTAAAAAGCTTTAATAACCTAAAGGTCTGCAGGATGTGAGCTCATAATCAGACAGTTTGGATCCATGCTTAGTTATATGTGATTCAGTTGTACTGAAAACTGGCTCATATGCCATCATAAATTAATTTTCAAATGTTTGTAAGAAAGCAATGTCCCTATACCCATGAACATGTAGTTAAAAATTAGTGTACTATTTATTCAAGCACAACTCTCAACACTGCATTTAACATGCCAACAATTGCAAGATACATCACAATTTCAGAGATGTTATACTGAAAAAGCGGATGTGTCAGAATCAATGAAATATGAATGTGTATAATCAGTTACCCATAGTAAATTTTCCATAGAGGAATTATAAAAGAGAAGGGAAATGATCTGAAAGCTAATTCTGTATTTCTTTGAAAGGTGATATATTTCAATTTGCATTGCATGAAATGGAGTTCTTAAGGTCAGTATATATTGATAAAGACAGTCATAAATTAAATGTTTAGAGCAAATAAAACAGAATACATTATGCACATGCTTGAACTCCCAAGTAGTTATATTTCTCTTGAAACTTTTATTAAAATAAAGGTCTCAAATCCTTTAAAACTGAATCTCTAACAGTTGTGAGAACTTAAAATTCTTAATTTTCAATGGATCTGTCTTTGTTCAGGTACATAGATTCTAATGAGTTTTAAAATTATTAAGAGGTTTTTGGAAATAAACATTATTCCATTACATTTGATTATTTTTAATAATTGGACTTATTGAGTTTGAGGGCAATCCCTTAGAAAACTGAGTGGGAAAAAAAATAGGAGTAAAGAAAGGAAGTAAAAGCCACTGAATCTAATTTGCTATATCAGGTATCCAGAGTAAATAATTCTATAGAGAAAAATTTTCATAGTCCCTCATAAGAATATTTCAATGTCTTATGGATGCCATAAGAATATCTTCAATGGAGATTAGGAAATATTAAGACATATTTGGAATTTATTCTTTTTCTTTAATTTAAGTTCTTTATTGTTTAATGTATTACATTGGAATTTATTCTTTAGTGAAGGATTACATCTGATGCATGCAGTAATTTTAATAATGATTTTTTAAAAATTTGCCTGAAGACAAAAAATATATTTTGTTTATTTTAATTTTTAAAATCTTTATTAACTAAAGCTGCTTTGAACATTTAGGACATAATCAGATTTCTAGTGAATTTCTGAGTCTTGCAGAGAATATGTATGACTTCCTAAATGTTAACAAATTTTGAAGAAGATATCAAATGTTTAAAAACCCATGTACACTGCAGTGTAAACATGTCCTCAGAGAAATCAAATGCATACAGTTCTATTGTAGTGTTATGTCTTGCACATTGCTAAGTCATTACATGGCACATGTAATTTAAATGTAAGTCATTTAGGGCACAGAAAAGCTGTCGTACCAAAAGTGTTCAAGTTCCTAACTTTGTTAACCATTAAAAATGTCATTACTTGTGTTTGATATCAGTAAATCTTAAAAGGCTCCTGTGGACATATTGAAAATAGGCTCTATTTACAAATATTATTTAATCTAAGAATACCCTGTTTTCCCTTACCTTTTAATTAATTCTAATTAGTCAAATATTAATTCTCTTCTCACAAACCATTATACAGGAACATACCAATTATTCAAGTAAAATGTAAGCTCTAAAACCTTTAAGAATTAGATCATTAAGTGGAAAAAAAGAAAGAAAGCACATAACAGTCATCATCTAGCTTTGATCAGCCTATCAGGAAGTTTGTCTCTCACTACGGTAACAGCTTCAGTTCAGTTCGTTATAAATTAGTGCAAACTAGTGAGAGTGTAAAAATATAAACTCTGGACTTTCAGGCTTTCGATTTATTTTGCTCTTTTGGATAATTCATTCCAGAACATCGTAATGTTCATTTTTAAATTGTCAGCATTTTAATAAATGGAATTTTTCCACTTTTTCCTTTTGGGACTGTCAGGTATTGGGACTGTCAGGTATCAATTTATTTTCCTTTTAAAAAGGATGCTACATGTGACAGACAAACTGAAAAATGTGATTTTTACGTTATCCTTGGTGGTCAAGGGTATCTTAAACAAGTGAGTCACAGTACTGAATTATGTCAGTGTCCCCAATCTCTCATTTGGGGAAGGAAATACAGTTCAACTTAGAGTCATAATTGCTTGGCTATGGGGACAGCTAATGGAGTTGCTCTATTTGTTAGCTCCAGAGCAACTTAGGTATTAAAATACTCTTTTGGGTAGAATGTGGAGTGCAGACTTTAGTCTTCATTGAAATGCATATATCTAGCACTTTGATTAACTCAAGTGCTGAATGACAGCAAATCTGGGATGTTAATTATAAAAAGACATTGTTGTCATAGGCAAAGCTCTGACTACTGGACTTCTAGCCAGTAAAATGAGAATAAATCTGTAGGGCTGTGGTAATTGTGAAGAAGTTTCCATTGGGGAAGATAAAAACTCATAGCCTCTGTATCAATCTCGGGGTGAGCACCGCACAATTTTAGGGGGTGCTGTTCACACAGGCTAAGGCATGAATGGATTTCACACCTGTAGTTAACTCTTGGAAGTTGATTGGCAGGAAAGATTGCAACTAGTCATGGCCAATTCAGTCTGAATGACTCTTTCAGCTTTGCTTTGCAATTTTCTCATGCTCATATACTTAAGACTTCAGTAAATCACATTTAAAAACACTTGCCAATTGGATATTCTAAAGACTCAAGAGGTAGCATGATATTGTGCAATGAACACTAGCCTGGCAGTAAGATAGAAATTGTCTTCAAATGCTGCCACTTAATCACTGGGATGGTTTTTGAGACATCACTTAAACTTGATTCCCTGACTAACTAAAATGATGAATTAGCTTATTTCTTAGATACTGTTTATCTTCTGCCAATTGCATACTTTTAAAATTCTAGTCAGTGGAGTTGAGGAGACACTATTTTATATAGCCTAATATAACTTTTAATTTAAAAATGCTAATATCTACTTAGAGTAAATATCTGAGAAAGCTCAGTCAAAATTGTGGCACTTTGCTTGACAAGGCAGAGTTTCTAAATATCTTCTGAATTTTAACCTGATGATTAGACAAATGAAATGGTGAAATAGTCTGTCCAGTTAACCAGGTAAGAAGATATAAGACTCCACATCTTCAAACAACGAAGCTGTTCAAATTTTGATGTTACTTTACAGTGTCCCTTATTAAACATTCAGCTTTTAAAACCAGTATTCTAATAAAGTGACATTGTATTATTCAGTTTTTATGGCAGTAGTAACTTAGCACTTATTTAATCCAGTCATCTGTGACTTATATAAACTTATCCTGTAAGAAAGAAAACCAAACCATAAAGGCAAAGAAGAGAGAATGTTGGAATTAGTATCCATCTTGTAAAAAGAAGAAAACAAACACACATATGCATAAAACTAGTTTCAAAAGCAATAACCCTCAAGATTAATGTTTTATCTGTTCACCTCTTGAGTGAAACACTAATCATTTACTCATCTAGCTATTTTTGTAGATTCACTGTCAAATGTTGAAGTGTTTGGCAACATTAGAATAAATGCCTTATTATTTTTCATTTGCATGTTCCATGCAGGGATTACTGTACCCTTGCAGTGACACAATGCCATTGCTTCTCTCTGGGAAGCTTAGGAATGGCCAGGTACCTGTAAAGTGTAATCAGTGCTCTTCAGATGATCTACATTCTATGCTGATCTAAATAAGTTATATATTACAGTAAAGTGCTACAATGACACTAGTCTCAAACAGTAGTAAGACACATTTTTTTCTCTGAAAAAGTCAGCAGCGATGTGAGTCACATGATGATGAGGATGCTTGTCAGTCTCCATTCCAGTGAAAACCAGCAACTAGCATGATCTAGAACAATTTGTCTCCTCCTGTGACTTCTAAAACTATAATTTTAGGAGCAATTATTAAAAATCCAGTTTCCCATAAAGTACTTTTTAAAAAATCTTTTTAGTAGTTGCACCTGAAAGTTTCATGAGCATTTAATTTGCTGATATCCATTTTTATTTCTTCAGGCTTCTCACGTCGGTAGGTTACTGTTCTTGTGCAAACACTTTGCAGAATTGACTTGTCCTTAATGGAGAAGAAATATTAGCATTAATTAAGGACCGAAATACTGGAAGTAGGTAATGACATACTGATAGTAATTCTTTTTTTAGAATTCACTGACCTTTTTTGAGGCCGACACCCTGTAATCTGCTGAGGACTTCATTTTATTACTATTCCATTGTAATATCACCTGTCTAATGATAAGGACTTTAAGCAACCCAATCAAGAATGTAACTATGAAAATGATGAAAAATATCCTCACATAGCTTGGACTAGAGAAGCATTCTGTAATGAAGCAAACAAATAAATTGATTAAAAATGGGAATGAGTAAGTCAAAGGATTCCAACAAGTAAACAGAGTTTATCATCTCAATGAATAGGAGCAGGGATCTTTGCAAATTTACATTTTGAAAACAGAGGACTGCCATTACTGTAGATTCAAAGAAGACTCTCAAATTTTTATTACACACTTATTAAAATGTTTTCAACATAAAATGCTCCTTTGTAGAATAGCCACAATTAAGTATTTAATGAGAGTATTTATTTGCAGCTTGCTTGATTCTTAGTAGTATTAACTGGAATATACCCAAATCCATAACCAAATATAATTGTATCCATGATAGAGAGAGGGACAGTTTTTGTGATGTGTTCCCTTGATCACAAGTGGAAACTGGGATTTAAAAAATTATTTAACAGCACCCCTCATTAGCTTATGTTCCCCTTGTTTTGCTCCTCTTCATTTGTTGCACACCAGTAATGGAAAATAAAGTAAACATCTGCAGAAGCTAAAATCAGTACTACTCTAACAGATGAATAAATATTTCCTTTGAAATTGCAGTGTCACTTTTCATGATTATTACACATAGATTCTCCAGGAAATAAGAGTGTCCAGTTCAGGACAATACACAAAATCTCTTTCCTCAATTTTTCTTTTTCTTTCTTTCTTTACTTGTCTGTTAACCAAGTTTTACATCTAAATATTCCACTTGTAGTGTTTTAAGAGTAAGTAATTACTAGCTGGAAAAGGATATGCCTCATTCAGAGGAGGAGCATGCTAGGTCTCTGTTTTAGCACTAGACTTTTGGCAAACTCTAGTTGGAAAGTCTAAGACTCTGTGGCTGCCAGAGGTATTATCCAAATCTAAGAGAAACGTGGTTGCACAATATGTCAGTATTCCACAGAACTTACCAGCTGTCCCAGACTCAAAAAATTACCTCCTGGCCTAAAGAGGCATGTGTTTTTGCCTCTTCTTTAGACTTTGGGGCTTCACCTAAACGTCTGAAGGTCTCCCTGAGAGGGCCTTTCAGGAGGGGACCTGTCAAGACTTAGAAAAGCAATCACCCGCTAATGGGTGATCTATGTCTGAATTCCCAGGGATGACCAAGCGTGCTTTTGAATAAGCCAAGAGCTCAGTAACAAGAGCAAGGGCTCCTCTCCAAATGGGAAGACAGAGCGCAGTTTTCTTTTGGTCAATGATAAGATTTCCTTGAAAGAAAGGTTAAAGAGAGGCTGGAGGACTACTAATTGGAATAGAAGCACCAAACACAAAATGCAAGTTTTCCTTTGTTTCACACACTGAGAATCCAGGATGCTCGATTCAACAGTGATGCCCTTGGAGTCTTTCACAGCGACCTCAAAGTTTGTGACATGCATGCCTTCCATCCTGGCAGACTGTCATTTCCCCTAGCTGACTCAGAGCTACTCAATCAGCTAATATCCTTATAGGGGGCATGTGGCTTGATCCCACTTACTGGCTTCTCGCCTAGTAGAAGCTTAACTAGAAAGACCAAAGAACACTCTTTAAGTGTGATTGAATGAATAGATAATAGAGGTGGCTAACACATGCCCTTTCTCTCTCCTTGCACAAGAGTTGTGAAGGGGAGGGGATTCCCCTAGCTACCCATACATTTTACAGATGTTTATAATGGGTTAGGATACATGACATTTTCAGGGCCCAAATCTGCGTGCATTTTTTAAATGTCATTTTGGATCAGCAAACATTAAGCCATGGCCATGACTATCATCTTGTTTAGGTCAAGTAAGGGCTTTTTCTAAGGAGCTTTAATGGAATACTTTTTGTAACCACACTTAGGTCACAGTAGGTCTGTTTACTTAACATAATAAATGACATGTTGACAGTAAGGGCTCCATTTATTAGAAAAGGCACTTGGCTTTTGGGAGTGATTGCTACAGCCCCAGCTGGCAGCACATGGGCTCTTTTCAGAGCCAAATTCAGTATGGGCTAAAATCAGTATGGATGGGAGGGAAGAAGGAAGCAAAACTCGAGAAAGTTTATTATTTTGTACGCTCTCTGTAAGAGCTGGGATTATTCTTACAGATTAAGAGAGATTATAGTAGCAGTTAAGAATGTTTTCAGTGAAGTCATAATTTTATTATGTGTCATCTTTTAATTTACATAATTCTTTCATGTTCACTGGCTCATTTAATCTTACACTACTCTGAGATTGGTATTACTATCTCCATTTTACAGATGAAAAAAACTAAGGCACAGGGAAATATTGTAAGACACTGATATTTCTTAACTACTATGTCAAGGGACATGGCTTAAGCCAAGGTCTTCAGACTAAAAGTTCCATACCCTTTCCATTGTGTCACCTTTATAAACATTCACGCTAACTTTTATTTATATCATAATGAAAAGTATCAGGAAGGAATAGCCCTTTTGAACTTATGCACTTTACAAAAGCAGATCATTGCTACTTTGAATATTTTGGCTTCACCCGAAACATGAAAATGTTGGTTTGACACGAGGAAGGTTATAACTGGAAGCAAGTTTGGTTTATGAAAAATAATTATGGCTCCATAGATATTGTCTCTAAGGGTGAAATTGACTCCACATAGGAAACTCCTTGGTTCACTGAGGCCTCTCTAGAAAATATGTTCGGTGTACTTCCATGGAGATGCACAGCATGGGAACTTACCTGGGTAGTTAAGAAGGGGGATCTAACAGTTCAGCCAACCGTGGCAGACACACTCAGCTAATTTTATTGAGTACCATCTTTGAGATATTGAAAACACTGAAGCAGTTAGTCCATTCTTTAGGATGGTTGCTATGGACGCTTTTGGGGAACATGATTCGATACTTTCTCGGTGCTTTGCTTACTAAGCTTTGGCTTACCTGATGTTTGGTCCACATAATGCTGTTGCATGAAAGCACATGAGGATTTACACCGCTCAAGTATAGCTTGAGACAGATTGTGGGGGTGAAGGCATTGCACACAATTCCTGTAAGGGGAAACAGAAATGGAAACATATAAACTTTAAAAGGTGGTAGCCTGTAGTATTTTCTATAAGAAATAAATTAGAATACTGCTTTAGGACAGCAGTCTTGTAAAACTGGGAAAGAAAGCTATGACAATTATTTGTAATTTTGGCTGAATTTAATACCATGGCAAAGTTACTTTCTAACCACTTAAAATAGTTTAATAATGTATAAAATCAAAATAATGATTTTTCTGCCTATTTTTTCTTCTAGGATTTTTAGGGTTTCAAATCCTACATTTAAGCCTTTAATCCATTTTGTGCTTATTCTTGTATATGGTGTGAGAAGGTGGCCTAGTTTCATTTTTTTGCATGTATCTGTCCAATTTTCCCAGCGCCATTTATTGAGTAGACTGTATTTACTTCATTGTATGCTCTTGCCTCCTTTGTCATATATTAATTGACCATATAAGTGTGGGTTTATTTTTGGGCTCTTTATTCTGTCCCATTGTTCTGTGTGTCTGTTTTTATGTCAATACCATGATGTTTTGATTACTATAGCCTTGTATAATAGTTTGATATCAGGTAGCATGATACCTCCAAACTTGTTCTTCTTTCTCAAGATTGCTGTGGCAACTTGGGATCTTTTGTGGTTTCATATAAACTTTTAGATTATTTGTTCTTGTTCTGTGAAAAATGAACTTTGGTATTTTGATAGGAATCACATTGCATCTGTAGATTGCTTTGGGTAATATGGACATTTTAATGATGTTAATTCTTCCTATCCATGAGCAGGGTATATGCTTCCATTTATTTGTATCTTATTCAGTTTCTTTCTGGAGTGTCTTACAATTTTCTTAGTACAGGTCTTTTATCTTCTTGGTTAAATTTATCCCTAGGTATTTTATTTTATTTTTTGATGCAATTGTAAATGGGGCTTTTTTTAGTTTCCATTTCTGACAGTTCATTATTGGTATAAAAATACAACAGATTTCTGACCTAGAGGGTATTATGCTAAGTGAAATAAATTGGTCAGAGAAAGATAAATACCATATGTTTTCACTTATATGTGGGATCTAAAGAACAAAACAAATGAACAAACAAAATAGAAGCAGACCCAGGGATACAGAGAACAGACTGATAGTTGCCAGAGAGGAGAGGAGTTTAGGGACTAGGTAAAAAAAATGAAGGGGTTAAGAAGTAAAAATTGGTCATGACAAAATAGTTATGGGGATATAAAATACAGCCTAGGGTTGTAGTTAATAATATTATAATAACTGTATGGTGCCAGGTAGGTGCTGGAAATATCAGGGAGGAACATTTTGTAAAGTATATGATTGTCTAACCACTATGTTGTAGACCTGAAACCAATACAAAACAATATTAAATGTAAACTGTAATTGAAAAATATTTATAAAATGACTTTTCCATCTTGAGAAGAAAATCTATAGGAAATGAATACTCTTAACACACACACACATACACACACACAAACTAGCATAGATGTTTTAGAAGATGAATATTAGACACCAATAGAAAAGTTTAGCAATAAATACACAGTTCAAATTTTTGTTTAGTTCTTTAGAATTAATTCCATCATTATGTTTAGGAAATGCATTTCTAAGAGAGAGACATAATTTGCTATGCATTCTTTAAAAAATTTTACTTGTGCTATTAATCCAAGAAAGTGGAGGTTATAAAAATTTGAATAAAACAAATTGGACGGCACAGTGATGTTTAGAGTAGTGGCTTTTGTTTGAACAGGGCTCAAACTGTTATTGGGAAATTAATTATTGGCACAAAACAATAATGCTATCTTTATTTAACATATCACCTTTCATTTATCCATCATTTATTTCTTTAGTGCTTCATAACCACCATCATCCTATCTAATAAAAGAGAAACATGGTAATTAGCCGTACCTCCGCTACCCTTCCCATTGGCTAATCAGGGTGATATGCAAATTAACTGCCAGCCAAGATGGCGGCCGGCAGCCAGGCAGCTTGAAGCGAACATGAAGCTTGCTTGCTTCAGTGACGGAGGAAGCCAACGTTCCCCGCCTGCCACTGCTGGCCTCTGAGCTTGCAGTTTGAAACATTGTTACAAAATATAGAAGCTAAACAAAACCCCAGAAACCTGCTTTCAGCCAGCCGGGCCTCAGAGCTGGAGTTGAAACAGTGTTTCGATTATAGAACCCAAACAAAACAGATACCTGCTTTCAGCAGCTGAGGCCTCAGAGCTGGAGCCAAGCCTCAGAGCTAAAGCTGGCCCAGAATAAAAAAAAAAGAAAAAAAGGAGCGGTTGGGAGCTTCAGTCACCCGGCAGCCTGAAAACAGCCCTCAGCCCCTCACCCAGACTGGCCAGGCACCCCAGTGGGGACCCCCACCCTGAAGGGGGTGTGACCAGCTGCAAACAGCCATCAGCCCCTCACCCAGACTGGCCAGGCACCCAAGCGGGACCCCCACCCTGATCCAGGACACGATTCAGGGCAAACCAGCTGGCCCCCACCCGTGCACCACGCCTCTATCCTATATAGTAAAAGGGTAATATGCCTCCCAGCACCGGGATCAGCGGAGCCACGAGGCCTCCAGGCACCGGGATCAGCGTGACGGGGCAGCGCCCAAACCCCCTGATCGCCCTGCGGCTCTGTGTGTGACAGGCGGCAGGGCCACAACCTCCCTATCCGCCCTGCTCTGTTCGTGACAGGGGAAGGCGCCCCAACCCCCTGATCGCCCTGGGGCTCTGTGTGTGACAGGGTGCGGCACCCCAACCCCCTCCCCCCCATGGGCCCTGCTCTGTGTGTGACAGTGGTGGCGCCCCAACCCCCTGATCGGCCCTGCTCTGTGGGTGATAGAGGGCGGTGCCCCAACCACCCCCCACGGGCCCTGCTCTGTGTGTGACGGGGTAGAGCCATAACCTCCCCATCGGCCCTACCCTGAGTGTGACAGGGTGCGGCACCCCAACCCCCTGATCCGCCCTTCTCTGTGTGTGACAGGGGGCGGTGCCCCAACTCCCCTATTGGCCCTACTCTGTGAGTGACAGGGAGGAGCTCCTCAACCCCCTGATCGGCCCTGCTCTGTGCGTGACACGAGGGAGCTCCCCAACCCCCTGATCGACCCTGCTCTGTGCGTGACAGGGTACAGAGCCCCAACCCCCCTGATGGGCCCTGCTCTGTGAGTGACAGGGGGCAGCGCCCCAACCCCCTGATTGGCCCTGCTCTGTGCGTGACGGGGTGGTGCCGCAACCTCCCCATCGACCCTGCCTTGAGTGTGACAGTGGGCGGTGCCCCAACCCCCCAATCGGCCCTACCCTGAGCATGACTGAGGGTGGCATCGCAACCTCCCGATCCGCCCTGCTCTGTGCATGACGGGGCGGCGCCCCAACTCCCCAATCAGCCCTGCTCTGAGCCTGACCAGGGGCTGCACCTGGGGATTGGGCCTGCCCTCTGCCACCCGGGAGCAGGCCTAAGCCAGCAGGTCGTTATCTCCTGAGGGGTCCCTGACTGCGAGAGGGCACAGGCCGGGCTGAGGGATCCCCCCTCCCCCCCGAGTGCACAAATTTTTGTGCACCAGGGCCTCTAGTTCAATAATACTATCTAACATTTTTCTATGATTACTGTGTATAAGTACAAAATTTTTTTATATGAACCATCTAATTTAATTCTTTCATAGAACTATAGCAAGGTATTATTATTATCCTCATTTCTGATATCAGGAATATTGACAGAGGCTATCCTCAGAAAATTCACAGAGAATTTCAACAACTTGCCCTAGATCAAACAGCTAATTAATAGTAAGCTGGAAGCAAGCAACCCCTAAGTCATCACATTATAAACCTTAAACTTGCATAAGGTTATATGCCAATTATATATCTAAAAAGCTGGGGGGGAAACCAATGAACTGTTATAAATACTGAATATTATTATTAAAAAACCCCACCTTATTATCAAAGTTGAAGGCAGTGAATGCCTTGTTAAATTCTGATACTCCACAGCTATCTAGTGGCCAAAAATTGGAATATAAGTCTTAAAATTCCCAAATCCCCCACTCAGTTCTCTTTTAGCATGATGGTAATTAATTTGGAGGAGAAGATGCAGCACTTCTAGGGTTATGAAAGGCAGAATTAAAAAGGACAAGCATAGCTGTAATGGAGTACTGCTTTATGCATGTTTGGAGTCAGAGAACACATACCAGTTTTCATTGCAGCCTGTGTGACATGTGGGGCAGTGTTCACAGAAGCGGCCGAAGCTTCTGGGATCAGTGCACTCGCACCTGCCACATACACACGTGCCTCTTCCACTGCACACTTGGCCCTTTGGATTGACGCAGTGCTGGGCTGATGTTGACGGGCACTGGCACCGATCTCCTTCCCAGCCGCTGAAGCACTGGCATCTGCCTGCTTCACATTCTCCGTGCCCTGCAACAGACACCACAGGACCTGAGTTATTATTGGGGCCACCGACTTTGTGAAGCTTTTCCAAATGTGAATTCCCTTCCCGTTTCCATGGAAACACACTGACAGTGAAGTGAGTGCAAACAACATCATTTTCTACTTGTCTGACATAAACAATGCCAGGATGTAGTGCAGCCGTGGGCAAACTACGGCCCGCGGGCCGGATCTGGCCCGTTTGAAATGAATAAAACTAAAAAAAAAAAGACCGTACCCTTTTATGTAATGATGTTTACTTTGAATTTATATTAGTTCACAGAAACACTCCATCCATGCTTTTGTTCCAGCCCTCCGGTCCAGTTTAAGAACCCATTGTGGCCCTCTAGTCAAAAAGTTTGCCCACCCCTGATGGAGTGTCTACTTCCAAAGCTGTTAAAGTATAATCTCCTGATGCTATTTTATTGTGCTGACAATTGTGAAGTCTGCCCAACTACTTGAAAGTCACTGTATATTCAGTTTTAAATTAAAAACACAAATATAACTAAGCTACCAAGACTGAAGTAATGTTAATTGCCTGACTTGAAAACAGGGGTATTTGATTAATAGCTTCCATAATTTATTCTCTTTGTCTCTCCTTATTGTCAAGGGCCTGAGGCAAATTTTCTAGTGCTTCAGTTCTGGAAGTTTAAAGATAAGATTTCTAGGGAAGCCAAACTAATTGTTTCACGTCTTCAGGAGATCAGTTGGCAGGGACCATCAAAAGTATGCTGTGCACTATTATTATAAGGGATTGAGAGAAAGCAAGGTGGTAGATGTGTATGTTTGTTGGGGTTGGGGCATTTATGCCAACAAATAAGGAAAAACACTAGTTATATGTAGTTAACATATAGAAATATCCAAGATTTAATATGCTAATGTGAACTGGAAGTCTTCAAGAGGGGGTACATTTTATAGGATTATGTAGTGTTTCTCCGGCTTATTTAGCCACAGGCTCCTCCCTCTCTCTCTCTTTCTCCCTCCATCTCTCCCTCCCTACCTACCTCCCTCTCTGCCTCCCTCCCTGCCTCCCTCCCTCTATTGCAGAGCACTTCACAAGGTAACTGTTACATAGAGTGTGCTGTTGGATTGGCTAAATTTGCTAGGCGTAAAACTAATGAGGTTCAGGCCAAACAAATGCCTGCCAGACCCTGTTCCCTGTAAGCAGGCTGCACCACTGATCCTAGGCAGCCGACCTGTGAACATGTGTTTTTATTCTCAAAGGAAACTAGTGAAGAAAATGCTTGTCAGCCTACAGTTTGCACTTACAATTTATATACAAATAATTCAAAACAGATTCTCAGCTGCCTGTGTGTCAGTAGTATCATAGTCATATAGAAGAGCGCCAGTAAATTAATTTTTGATATCTATATATATAAAGGCTAATATGCTAAGTGTCCGTCCAGGTAATGACATCACTTAGCCATGCCTGGCTTCCTCTCCCTAGCGACGACTAGCCTCCTTGCAGTTCCTTCAGCCCAGGTTTTATAGTCAGGTGGAAACATTTCACACTTGAACCAAATGTATGTGAAGCGTTTTCCAGTGACTCATCTCATTTGATCCTCACAGAAGTCCTGGAGTAGATAGATAGGAGATTTAGAAAGCTTAGAAACTCGACCCGACTGAAAAGAAGAACTGGTGGACCTTGAAAATGACTTCAGGTTTTCTCACTGTGCAGAATATAGTCAAACACTACTGCAGTTAAATATTTTACCCTTTGTTCTCCCTGTGTGATCATAATAATAATCTGCTTCGTGTTGATACTTACTGCTGTGTTGCTGATAATTACTTGAAAGAGAAGTTGGGGTGCTTCACTGGGCTGGAAAAAGTTTAGTTACATCAGAAAGCAGGTCTAATTAAGCAAGTTAATTATATATATATATATATATATATATATATATATATATATATATGGCTAAGTTGACTCGATATATGATGTTCGATACATATAAAGCTCTTGCTGGCGCCGATCGCCCGCGTGTGTTTTAATCTGCCAGTGTCAATCATGAATTTGGTTGACACTTCTATTATAGAGAAAGGGTGAATAGTGATATTAAAATATTTCTTCTAATTAATTTCCTTTCAATGTGCATGAATTCGTGCACCAGGCCTCTAGTTTTATTATAAACAGAGGCTAGGATTTTCAATGCATTTCAAACTACTTTGAGATATCGACAGCTGTGGGAAAGGATCTCAGATTCTTTCTCTTCCCTCTCCCAAACAGGATTAGGTCTAAAAAATTAGCAGATAATTACTGCTTTGTTCTAAAGTCATCTATAATCCATCTTACCTATGATAGCAGGTTAAGCTGAACACATGTTTAAAATATAAAATATTTTGTGTATGTAATAGAATAAAAAGGCAATATGCCTATGCATACTTATGTGATATAGGGCAAAATTTTAGCTTACACACAAAAAATTTATTTTGTATAGCTTTTTTACTTTCCATATGCTTATGACAATGAAATATTTATCAATAATTTAATTAATGTTTGTTTACCAAAATGCAAATACTAAAAAGGCATTTTAACAATAAGTGGATTTAGCGCACTGTCACAGAAAAATTAATTCATTGAAAAACAAATGATTTGTATTAATTTTTAAGTGCTGCAGATTTTCTGGACTCTAACCTCTAGATGGCAGTAAACTGAATTAGCCAGAAAGTACTTAGGTTTCTGTTTTAAAATTTGGTCTGTGGGGGCCTCTGGGACTACTCTTCTAGATTACTAATGAAACCATTATTTTCTTGAAGAATGCTGTCTTTGACAATTTTGTGTCTGGTATTGTTCCAAAAATAAACTGGAGAGTTTTAAATAACTACAACTTTTCAATATCACCTATAATAATGCATTAAGCATTTTCCAATGAATGAAAAGTGTATTTTTATAGCTCACTATACTCTGAGCAAGCTAGAGGGAGTGACCACTTATGAGAATGAATCAGATCCTCCTAGAAGAATACCCTGATTATAGAAAGCCTGTCAGACATCATCTGTAATTTCCTTTTCTGGCATATATCTTCACAAGGGCAAGGCATACTTGAGAATAACAACTCATTTTTGTTTTTTATTTTTAACTACTTACTGCATACAATTATTTAATATATAAATATCAGAATCATGTGATATAAATTTGTTGCCATGCCTTAATTTCACGGACTCTGAAACTTTAAAAATTAAATTCAGATTCAGGGTTAGTAATTATAAAGCTGTGATTTAAAGATACTTTAACATATATGCTAATTTAAGTGACTAGTGAAAACTGCATGTATATTTATATATTTATACTCACCAGCACACAGATTTCCTTGGTGATATGGACAAGAGAAATCATCCTTTTCACAGTATTTTCCATATACTTTTCCAAGCTTAGTTTTATGACACAAACATTTCCCACAAATACAAACTCCTCGACCGCTGCAAAAAGGTTGATCCTTGTGTGACTTGCAACTCTCAGAAGGGACTTGATCTTCATCAAAATGACATTTATCCTCATCACACTGGAAACACTTGGAGTCTAGTAAAGTTTCATCTACACAATTTCTTTTAGGTCCTCTGATTTCATCACACTGACAGCTGCAGTTTCTGTGTATATGAATTTTAGTGGTTTCATTGAAACCAATAGGTTTGATTATTGCATAGCTTTTTCCTCCTGTGACATCACATTTTTTCATTGTAACTGTTACATTGAAAAGAACCTAAATTTGGGGTAGGGGAAGAGAAAAATATATGTTTTGATTATTTTTATTACCTATATCTATTAATGATATTTTGAATCAACATTCCCTCTTACAGAAATTAATATTTATAAATTGCACATGCACTCTTTCATAGATAGATGTAACATCCCTCTTTAATTTTACTTGTTTCCTAATTAATGAACTAGAGAGTTAAAGGATGCATTGACTGCTACTTTCTCTGATTTAGTCAAGGAAAAAATATCCAGGACTCTTACTCTCAGTACTTCAGATATCAATGCATGTTCATACATTTGTCTTAGTGGAGAGGTTAGTCCATAACGAAGAATCTGGGCTGGGAGATATTGGTTCCCTTATGAAACTACAGAATTTCTTTCTCTTGCCAAATTTTTCCTTTTTATCTATTTTTATTTTTTGCACACAATTGGTTTTATGTATCTATTTATATTTGTTAACCCACCTTATGATCTAAGGTACTTTGACAAATAAGATTATATGGTTTTTTCCATGTTAGACTGAAATCTGTTATAATTTAAAAATAATCTGTACTAGACTTTTTGTTTGGAATAGAGATAAATAGATATAAAGATATAAATATAGGTAGATGGGTATCTATCTATCTATCTATCTATCTACCTATAGATATTTCTATATATCCCAAACAAAAAGCCTCGCACAAATATATATGATACTATGAAATATCTAAATTTAGGCTTATATATTATATATATGCATTAGAAATCAGAATCAGTCTCATAACATTAAAATCAATGCAGTTGGTGCTGTATTTGACAAATTTTTTGTCTTTAAGAATGTTAAGGATTAATAGATATGTACAATAATATAGTCACTGCCAGTATTAATAATAGAGCAAAATGTAGGGTTTATATAATTAAGAGGTCATATAACTCTTCCTAAGAGTCAAACTGTTTGCATTGCTTACTGAAAGTGAGGAGAACGAAGGTATGTAGACAAAGAAAAAAAAAGAAAAATGTAAAAAATAAGGAAAAACAGTTTGCCAAAGCTGATTTTGAAAGAAGATAACCCTTTCTCAGAAAGTAACAGTGCTATCTTTTGTTAGCATAAAGTTTTCTCTATATTTAATGGAAATCAAATATGTATTTTATAAATTGGCATATAATTTTTTAATGAAAATCCAAAGAATGATTATGGGGGAACCTACAGAACTTGAAACTAGCAATAATTAATTTCAAATATATAACTTGTTGGAACAACTATACTGCCTTCAGATTCTAAATTTACCGAGAGGAAAAAATATATTCACACTAAAGAGAAAGGAAGATTCTCTTTTATTCAATCTTAGGATCTTAGGACTTTCTATCTCTTTGAATAACTCTTACTCTTTTTCTCTATATAATGGCATTAAAATAATTAATAACATCATACAGCATTAGAAATGGAAGCAAAGGGAATTATAAATCTCCTAGTCCAAGCTATTCATTTAAATATGAGGCAACTGATGGCTCAAGAGGTAAATGACTCACTGGAAATCACTTCATCCAAGAATAATTCCCTTTAAAAGCATGTTTTGGTGTGTTTACTCTCTATTGTGCTGGTCACTGGAGAATCTCTATCTCCTCTGGTCCTGTTTCCTGATGCTACCTTAATCTGGGCCTCTCTTTTCTACATTTCATCCTTTCTTAGTTAAATGATGACACTTCTTTTTTATTGTTCTAACAAATTTCCCTACCTCCTCCTAGATCATATGTGTACTAGAGGCCCGATGCATGAAAATTCGTGCAAGAGTAGGCCTTCCTTCCCCTGGCTGCCGGCACCGGCTTTCCTCCAGCACCCGGGACCTGGGCTGGCTTCCCCCTGGCCCTGGCTTCGTCAGGAAGGACATCGGAATGATGTCTGGTCTAATTAGCATATTACCCTTTTATTATTATATCACAAAATGAAATAATCACAATAACAAAGTGAAAGATTTTGGAATTCTTAGTCTTTATCAACTGCTCCATAACTCCCATTCTTTTCTGTGGCTTATTCACCTTCAGTTTCACATTTGCTCTGAGATTTTTCAGATTTGAAACCAAAAAAATTATTGTCATCATCATAAGTGCAGACACTACTTATGTGAGGAGCTGTGATTTCCCAATATTTAATGGCTGTGACACCTAGATTTAAAGATATTATCATTGAATAAGTATTTAATATAATAAATACTTAACTTGAGAGTTTGAGAGAACAGTCAATGAAGTTAAAACAGTAGGAACTTTGCAAAGAGACAATAAAAGTTACTTTGAAGTCTAAATAAGATCCTTGGGGTCAGAGGTAAGTAAGTTTTCAGGATGTTTTGATTTTCTGTGAGGAAGCATACCAAACAGCTTAGTTTACTTGAAATAGGGAAAACGCGCACCCACATACTTCGTCATTGCTCGTTACGTTTCTGCATCCTTCTGTGCCTCTCCTTCTGGTCCCATCTGGACAGATCGCGGTAATGTTTAAATAGATGCCTTTTACCTGGTTTTCCACCTGAACTTTCACTTCTGAAATAAGTTTCTGCAGAGACATCATTTTTAAATTTTATACTATAGCATTATCAAATGTAAGCAACTAACAGTTTTATTGTAATTCTAGATTTAACTTAAGATTCTGTCTCTATTAAAGGATGAATAAAAACATCATTTCCACATAATAACCCAATTATATTTGAAATATGTAAGAAATACTGAAGATTAAACTATCTGCATTTAATGGCTCTATTTTAAATATATTTCCATGCATTTCTTGCATTTTGATAACTTCAAAGATAAATCTTACTCAGCCTGTTACAAACATAATCATTTAATCCAATAATATTTATATTATGTAATAAAATTTAAATAAAACATTGAGAACACATACCATCATAGAGGGTAAATCTTGACAGCTTAAAATCTGAAACATGCTTCTGACCTTTACAACTGTTCAAGAAACATTTCAGTTTCAAATACTTGAGATTATCATGAAGGCTAAAATGCCTTATTAATATAAAATTGAAAGGAAATTTTTGGGAGGCAATTTCTATACAATAGGCAAAAGAATTACCTACCCAATATGGTCCTATATTAGTAAGTTCTCCATGAATGGCCTAGGATTTTTGCCAAGTTCCTGAGGCTTGCTTGTGTCAATCAAATCTGTTCCAATTCCTAATACTGAACTAGATCCCCTTACTGAGCAGAAAACCATCCATTTATTTGTGCAAACTTTGAAAAATCATTTATGTAATGCCATTTATGTAAATGTATCAAGCACACACTAATTTCCTCCATTGCAATCTCTGAGTTCCAAAAATTCTAAACTACATTAAATATGCAGATCTGTATGTATTTTCATTTTATAAAACTAAGAGTCTACACATGCTAAAATCCTTAACATATACTTGTAAACAAAAGGAAGGAAAAAGATAACGTATAGACCTAAGGAAAGAGAGTGAGTGGATAGATATGAAGAAAATAAAATAATTTCTACTGTCTTCTAATTCTTTTACTTGAGTAATTTTTCTTCAATGGTATAATCAATAAAAACATGTATACTAATTACAATTAATCATGGAATTATGGTAGTAACTCTTTAAAACAAGATACTTCCTCAAATTAGTAAATTTTATTTTGGGTTAGGTAAGACTATATTAGCCACATTTTTTGTCTCCCAAAGAGCTCATTCATTATAATCACTTAATTGAACAATTTTGGCAAACCAAAACTTTTAATGGTATACAAATAGGGTTGATATGGTGATGATTTGACAGGTCAGAAGGAAATTCCTCATACTCTGAGTGCCCTTCTGAAATTCTGCGTATCTTATAACCTTGAACTAGTTATACCAATGTTTTCAAGCAGGGTGTTGAAGACAAATATCTAAAGTGTTGATCCCTTTTGGCATTTAGAAGTTAAGCTCCAGACACAGGCTTAAGCTTCACTCTTAATGACTAAAAGGTACAGAGTTAGGATCTATTTTTTGTAATGTATAATTGTTTTATTCAATATATTTTCCCTTAATTTCAGCTGAATTACTATTGTTTTTAGAGTTATGATTTTTATGTCATTTTAATTCTACTGGTGGTGTTGATGTAAAAGATAAAAAAATAAAATGTAATTACATTCACCATGTACTAAATGTGTATGTACTTTTATAAAATTCTTAAAAATGAAGTGCAAAAAGTGAAAGGTTAGAATGAAAATATTTTTATTCTTTTTTCCATCAATGAATTGTGAGTTGTTTCTGTTGGACTGTGAAAACAAAATGAAATTTCAGAAGAATTTTGAAAATATAGATATATAAAACAATAACAGAATTTCAACTTAAGAAGATTACTTAGCCAGAGTAAGTTTTTGTTAGATTTACTAGTATTTTTCATTGTTTAAGGTTAATCAGAACTGCAGTTATCTTAAGGCTTCACATACCTACCCTAGGCAAATAAGAAACCTAAAACCAAATGCTGCTGTTTCCTTTTCATTGGTGCAGCCTGATACCAAGGCAAGTCTGTCAATTTATATTACTTGTTTGAGGTAATAAGTGGGTTCATATTATAAAAACTAGGGTGGCTTCTAATACTGTGAACTCCTTCCTTATCTTGATTATTCTTGAGAACAAACTATGGATGGGAATGAATTGTACACACAGTTGATTTTCTTTGATAAGAAGCTCTGCCAGTCCTAATGTTCGTTTGTAACAGTGAGAAAGAAATAGAATTAAAAATACACTTCCTTACTTCATTCAATGTATTTTCAGATATACAAACAGCTTTTTGGTAAAAAAAAAAAAATCTCACAGGATTTATTTTTCTTTAAAAACTTTTTTCACAAGATTAATTTTTCTTTTTTAAAAAAAGGAAGTTTAAACAAGTCCTTCATTTTCTATCCTGTGTCTACTTTCTGTCTTTCCCATCTGTACCCAAGTTGAAGGCAGATGTTGCATGGAGAAAATGAGTAGAGAAGCCTGGGATTTCTCACAGTGGTTGGGCTACTATTTCAGCTATTCAACTCTACTGTGTCAGAAAGGGAATCAGAGAAATTTGGGAAGTGAGACTTTATTAATTGTCCATGAATTTAAGGTATAATAAAGCATGTCTTTGGACGCTATGTGAAATTAAAACAAAAGAACACAAAACAAAATGGGTGGCATCACTTGGGGTCTGGGGTTAAGGAAGACCTGGATTCTATTCCTGCTTCTTCTGCTTGTTAGTTGTCTGACCTTTGCTTAGCTTCTTTGGGGGTCTACAAATGCGTAATGGGAATACTAATCCCTGCCTTATATGTCACGTGTGCAGATTAAATGAGGTCACATGTGGAAAGTAACAGGTTCTTAGTGGAATTAAAGTAACAGTCACTATTATAACAACATCCTAACAGAAAATTCTTTTCAGGAATGACAAAGGTTGAAAGAGCAGATGTTTCTTTATATCTTGGCATTTGGCATTTACTCTTCACAGCCTGGGGACAGCATACAACATTCAATAAAATAGAATATCTCTTAAGGTGATTCTTTTGCTCAAACTAGTTTTATAAAACTGCTAAAGTAACTGATTGGACAATCAAGTGATTGATCCAGGAAACCCTCTTAGTAATCTCTATATCCCAGGTTTTCATTTTATCTGACAGGTTGCCACTTTAAATACCAGTATGGATTTCTTACTTTATCTTTATGATATAGGAAGTTGTGAAATATCTTGGTAATAAAGTGTATTCTATAGTCCTGATTTGCTGACTCACTGAATGTTTGATTTGGAAAGAAATTTAGATTTCCTGCAGCCCAACCTGGATTTATTGTTAGTGAGACACACTGAGGCACATAAGGCTGAAGTGACTTTCCCCCAAGGTTCCATGGCTCGTCAGTGGGAGAGCCAGGACTGAATTAGGTTCTCAATTCTAAATGTAATGTTCTTCCTACCACGCCTTTCAAGATGATATGGCACTAGTTTGTACCTTGTCATAGAAACTGGGGTTAAAAATTATTTGGAATATATATGTACATACCTGATAGGCTTCTACTACCAAATTATTAAGGTTTGCAGCCTTGGATTCTATTTCACCAGCAATGGTACCAGGCAAGAGGGGTAGAAGGTCCTAGAACATATACCAATAAAATTTATTAATGGCAATTAATAAATGGTTTAGCAATGGTTTAGCAGTCAACAAGTATAAAAATTCTTGTAGTTACCAGTGAGCAGTGACATTACATGAGTCAAAAAATATGATAAAAGAAAATGGTGTGTATATGTGTATATGCAAGAGTGTGTATGCATGTACATGCTGACCTAAAACCCAATCAAAGTACAGGCCAGCATTTCTCAAAGTATATTCCATGGAACATAGTATCAAGAGATTTTAAACATGAAAGGGTCCTAAGAGAAAGTAAGTTTGCCAAGTTCTACACATGGTTTCTTTCACTTAGAGACTCAAAATGTACATTTGCAAATTAAAGGTTCAGAGAAGTCCTGCAATTCAGAAATGATTTAGCATTATTTAGTGCAGCATTTCCTACCATTTCTTTTAAAAAACATATATTTTTTGATTTAAGAGAGGAATGGAGAGGGAGAGAGAGAAACAGAAATATCAATGATGAGAAAAAAATCACCGATCAGCTGCCTTTACATGCCCCCTTCAGGGGATCAAGCCCTCAACCCGGGCATGTGCCCTGACCAGGAATCGAACTGTGACCTCCTGATTCATAGGTTGACATTCAACCTCTGAGCCACACCAGCTGGGCTCCCACCATTTCTTTAATTACAAAATTCTTTTGTTATGTAACATATATAAACATTTTGTAGAATGACTGTTTCATGGAATGAACTTTATCATGTGTTGGCCCAGACTGGAGAAAAAAATAGTTACAAGTGGAAGCTTCATGTGGTAGGTGTTCTTGATGGATCTTTTTAATTACTGAATAATTATGGAGAAGACTCTAGGTATTCCTGGTGAGAAAGCAAAGCCTTAAGGGTTTATCTGAATTATAGATGAAATAAGAACATAGAAGAAACCAGTCTGATTAGAGTGAAGGATGTATAACTAACCTACAAGGAATCAGATTATGGAAAGTCTTGAAATCCATTTATACACTCATTTTTGTCATTCATAAGTATTAAGTTCCTGCTGTATGCCAGCCACTACGTAGACACTAACAACTTGGAATTGTAGGTAATAGGGAAAATGTATTACCTGTACATTTTTAAAATCCGTTTGTAAAACCTTTGTTGAGCACCTATTGCGTACCACTTTGGAAACGCTAAATTGCTAGGCCACTTACTTTCCATTGTTAAGGATCCCACTGGTACATAAATAACAACTTCACAAAACAATGTCCACATGAAGCAAAAGAAGGAATGCACAGTCCCTAATGGGAGGGATATCCAGGAAGCATTTGAGGGTTGCGGAAGGTTGTCAGGGACTGCTTCCTGGAGGAGGTGACACATGAGCTGTGTCTTAAAGGATGAGTAAGATTTAGTCAAATAACAAGGGAGAAGGGCTTCCAGGCATGGTGGGTGCATGGCAAGAACATTGGCACAAATGATAGAGCTTGGTGAATGGTGTGCACAGGAAAATTAGAAGCATGGCTGGAGGGACAGATGTAAGACAAAAATAGTAGGGGATGAGTCCAGAGAGGCAAGCAGGGACCAGATGGTCTCTTATGCTACATTAAAGAATTGTTCCTTTATATCAGAGGGAATCCTGAGAATATTTTACCTTAGGGAGCACTTTGGTCACACTTATGATTTAAATAAATCTAAATGTGTTCCCTCATCTTTACAATTGGGCATATTATTTATATTACCCTCATTATTAAGAGTTGTTAAGAATATTAAATGAATTAATAAACTTGGTGCCTGACAATAATAAGTATTCAATAAATGGAAGCTGTTACTGTCATTAATAAAGTGGTTTGGGCATTGGATTTGGGCAAGAGTCCTACTTCTGTGGATGTTAATGGTTGTTACATTAAAAGGGGGGTCAGGTATATACATTTGGGAAAATAGTGAATTAAATGAAGTTTCACTATAGATTTCTAAGGAAAGAAGTATGATTAAAGTAGTGCTTTCAGATGGTCAATATGATAAGTAGCCAGGTATTATGGAAGCTAACGGAGGGAACACCAGCTTCAGGCAAATGGAAATGGGTTCAAGTATATATTGAAGACAAATTAAAATGTAGTTTATCTGAAGTATTAAAAAAATAAGTAAAAGGCATCAAGAGTAAGGAAGCACAAGGATGACAAAGGAGATGAAGGAAATCCAAGAACAGACATGTGCAATGAAAATTAGGGTGTAACAGCATCATAGAAATGAAGAAAAAAAAGGGTTTCTTGGAAGAAAGAACCTAAGACTACAAAAAGCAAGCTATAGTAGGGTACAGAAGAATAGTGTTGGTGGAGGGGGATGATGGTTCCGTGATGCTGCCAGAATGACATAGCTGCCAAATGTCTATTCTGCTTGTGGATCTCTCCTAGCCAGAAGGATTCTGGACAAGATTATTCTTATGTGGGAAGGCTCTGGCTGGTCAGCCACTTCCATGGCTCCTCTTGTTCTTCTTTTTTTTTTTTGGATGACCTTGACCAAATCTAGGTAAGCTGTTGCTATTGACAAGCTGATATTCCCCAACATAATCCTATATAATAAAAGCCTAATATGCTAAGTGTCCGGTCGTCTGGTTGGCCGTTCAACCAATCAAAGTATAATATGCTAATGATATCCTAAGGCTGCTCAACTGCTCGCTATGATGTGCACTGACCACCAGGGGTCAGACAGTCGACCAGTCGCTATGACGTGCACTGACCACCAGGGGGCAGATGCTCTGATTGGTAGGTTAGCTTGCTGCTGGGGTCCTGTAGATCGGGACTGAGTGAGATGGGCCGGACATGCCCTGGAGCCCTCCCACAGTCCCTCCCCGGCTGGCCAACCTCCCACATCTCTCCCTGGCCCTGATCATGCACCAGTGGGGTCCGTTGGCCTAGCCTGTGCCCTCTTGCAATCTGGGACCCCTCAGGGGATGTCGGAGAGCCGGTTTTGGCCTGATCCCGCAGGCCAGGCCAACAGACCCCACTGGTGCATGAATTCGTGCACTGGGCCTCTAGTCTATTATAAAGAACTAGCACATAAGCAGGACTCTAGATGTAAAAGGTGTAGTTGGAGTGTGAACTATTTTTACATTATTGTCACAGTTAGTACCACACTAAGTATCCGTGCCCACACTTGATGCTAGTTGCTATCGAGAAAATTTATACTTCATGCTAACTAAAGACACTGTGTAGTATACATTAGTTAATACAGTATTCAATTTAGATTATACAAAGTACAATAACTCTATAATTTTTACCTGGGGTTTGAAGAAGTATTCTAGTTTCAACTACCAAAGCAAACATTTTAATTTTTGTATTTGGGAATGAACATACCTTATACCAATGGAACTGTTTTCCTTGAACTGCAAAGATGACATTAATGTTGTTGTCTATTAACTTTTCTGAGAGTTGGCCTAGCGAGGGATGTTCCTGTTAATGGACAATGAAATAAAGAAGGGAGTGAACTTTAGTAGCTTGATCCCACACATATCCAAACATTTCTTAGGAGGGAAACCACATGACTGACATAAAAACGTGTTTTGTTGGGAAGGGTTATGGTTTTACTGGAGACATTTAAATTGTTTAAAGAAATAAGATCAACATCAATGTATTAAAGAATATTTTATAGACAAAAGCTCCATGAAAGCTTATAGCATTTATCTAATGAAAAGGGATGAATTCAACATAGTACACAAAGTATTAAGTGCCTCTTTAGATTAACATTGTGATCAAAGTGATATAACTGAAAGATAATTTAATATTCAGACAGATATATTAGTGACAATCACATTCTGAAGCAAAATTCAATAAAAAGTGTTTAAATGCAAATATGTGCATATGCATACACATATATACACACATACATATTAGTATATATATATTTGATATATATGATATAGTACAAACTCTGCTTAAAAGCAGAAAACCCTGTACTCAAATTCCAAGTTGTCACTTTATGATAAAAGTTCTATCTCAGGTCCATCCTCTCTAACATGTGAATGGTATCTGGTTCCATTATTGCTGGCAAGATGAAAAAGATAACAATAGTATGTGAACTATTTAGTGCAGCTTCTTTCATAGAGTAGGTACTCAAACTAATAGCAATTATCATTATTTTACTTCCCTCTATAGTTTACAGATCTCTCAACGTATTATTCTATTTAACCTTTTTGTCATATATATATTATAAATATGTTTTACTTTGATAAATAAAACTTACATAGAGCCAACTGTGACATTCTTTGTAGTAGTGAGAAAGCTTGGGATGAGTAGAAGGGGAATAAAATTTATTTTAGTATATATGAGAAATCTGACAATTTGGAAATTGGTACATCTAGTGATATTGTTAGATATTGTAGTTGATATTTTTTCTTTCTGTAAATGCTCTTCTAGAAATTAAACTCATAATCTCAAATAACAACTTCATACCACACACCTCTCAGAGAGGTGATGTCAAACTTTACCTGCAGTGGTCCCCAGTGTCTAGTTACATTAGCCACAGATCATGTGACTGAGCCTAATTAGTATCATGTGGCTCAAGTTCAAATTACTATGTAGTTTTTATTCCCCCTTTTAGCCTCCAATTCTAATTGTGTTTGTTTAAGGGAAACTTTTGTTAAACCATCTTGGTTAACATTTCTGTATTTTGGCAAATAAGTGAACTTAGTAAAAAACTAATTTTATTAATTTTGCTTATAGTCTAAGTTCTGTGACCCATATATTAAATGTATATACAAAGACATAGAAGATAGCCTTGTGCTTAAAATACTATCACTAACATGAGTAACTGCTATGATCTGAATATTTGTGTCTCCCTCCCCAAATTCATGTCTTGAAATCCTAACCCTCAAGGTGATGGTATTAGGAGGAGGGCCTTTGGGATATGATTATGTCATGAAGGTGGAGCCCTCATGAATGGATTAGTTCCTTTATAAAAGAGGGCCAGTAGGAAAAGCTCCCTTGCCCTTTTCACCATGTGAGGTTACAGCTAGAAGTGTCGCCTATGAAACATAGTAGGCTCTCACGAGACTCTGAATCTGCCAGTGCCTTGTTCCTGGACTACCCACTCCCCAGAACTGTAACATTTATGTTGTTAGTAAGCCCCCCAGTTTATGGGTTTTTGTTACAGCAGTCCAAATGGACTAAGATAATAACCATAAAAAATATGCTTTTTTTGGTATGTAATTCATAATTGCTGTGGTAGAAGCAAATCAAATTTTCATGAACTGCATTTAAATGTGATATGAAGCCAATTCATGAAGAAGTTGAAAAAGTATTAGCACACGGATTTCCATAAGAAAAATTTTGCCCAGAGCAATTCGTAAAATATAAATTGAAAGTAATGGAAAAATAATTCCTCAAATATAAATTCTACCAGATAAATTCTTATTCCTTGTTCCTAATAATATATACACTCTTAAAATAAATGCATGACAGTTTGCATAATGCTAGTAAATTAAAGAGAATAAGTAAAGGAAAGGCAAGTCTAGCTGTATTGGGAGTATTTCTAAATGGCAGCAACTACTTTTCAAATATTTTTGCTTTGACAAAAAAATAATAACAATTTGCCAAGCATTCCCCCTTCTTAATTTTTAAAACCATTCATATTTTAAGGAAAATTAAATCCATATGTTTTTAAACTAGCTTATACTAAACTCACAGTCCAAGATATAAGCAGCTTTTGAAGCCTTCTTAATCTCTTTCCCCTTCCAAAAACAAGAAGTCACGTTGACCAAAAGTACACAAAATTTAAATCTAGAAAGTTCTAGTTTGGTCAAAAGCTCATTTAAAAAAAGGTCAGCTGGACTTTTAAGCTTAAAAGAACACATTTATTTTGAACCCTAAAAATAAATCTATTTTAAAAGAAAATTCCAAGTACCTTGATGCAGGTTTGTTAAAATTACAAATGTTTAACAGATGTTTAAATAAACCACTGTTGACAGGAGAGTTGTGGATTAATGGCCATCGTTGAAACCCCTTCCCCTTTCCTCCATGAAGCACATTATCTTTTAAGTATTTTATCTTTTATGTCTAGTATTTCACTAGCAGGAACACTCCCTCTCAGCCAGCTGTTGTGGTGACGTCACTGCTCCTCTTCTCTAACTCCCCCTTTGTAACCCATCACACATTGTTTCTCTAACCTCTGAAAATAATTAATAGTGATAACAGGCATTCCTGGAAGAAGGGAAAGCAGTGTGCCAAGACAGCTGCAATGTAATTAAGGGCAAAAGGATTCTTTCACATTTTTCTTCTTCACCAACACCTTCACTGTGACTTGTGGGAAATGACTTTAAAATGTCAGAGGGAAGAGGAGGTAAGAAAGATGTGTTGAAAGCAATTTTGGTTAAAGAGATAACTGTGTCGTGATGTATGGGAGAATTTCTTAAATATATTTTTATTGATTTCAGAGAGGAAAGGAGAGGGAGAGAGAGACAGAAACATCAATGATGAGAGGCCTCCTCCTGCCCACCCCCTACTAGGGATCGAGCCCACAACCCAGGCATGTGCCCTGACAGGAAATTGAACCATGACCTCCTGATTCATAGATTGATGCTCAGCCACTGAGCCATGCTGGCCAGGCTATGGGAGGATTTTAATATGTGCATGTGTAGTGGCAAAAAAAGAAAAAGAAAAAAAACTGTTTAAGATTCTCTTCATAAAAGTGAGAATCATAAAAAAATTTTGTAAAATAATATAGGATTTGTAGTATTGAATATCATGATATCCCCTCCTCCCCCAAACCCCAATGCCTTCGTTAAAGTTCTCAATCATCTGGACTATTTTTTACAGTTTATCTTTTTGGAGGAAAGAGACAAATAACATGAAAGCAATCTTACAACAGAGATTTATTTGGAGATGAAGACTTTACATTATGTGTCTTCAGCCTATTTTCTATGTACATGTCTACACAGTAAAATTCATAGACCAGGGTTTCTCATCAGTGACACTATTGACATTCACAAGCCAGGTGTTGTGTTTGGTTGGAGGTCTGTCCTGTGTGGTGGAGGAGATTTAGCAACATCTGTGGCCTCTATTTACTAGATGCTAATTCCGCCCACCTCTCCCAGTTGTAACAGGCAAAATGTCTCTGGACATTGAGATGTCCTCTGGTGGACAAAATTGCTCCAGTTGAGAACCATACCATGAGCAGGATCTCTGAAAACAGACAATTTGGAACCTCAACTCCTGCTTCTGCAATTACTAGCTATGTAACACTGGCTAGCTGTCTTAACCTCTCTGTGATTCAGTTTCCTTATGTATAAAAGAGGTATAAATACTCATATCTACTTCTCAGAGTTATGATGGAAATTAAACGTGTTACCATGTGTAAAGGCTTTTACTTACCATTCTCTAATTATTAAGCTTGCATTAGCGGTCAGTAGCAGCTCATGTCCTGATGTCACACGGCTTGGCATTTACCATAAGCAATACTGATTAGGGCTTGGCTGTCTGACCACACGCAAGTTCCTGATCCTTTTACTGTTTCCATTTTCCTATTTATAAAATGGAGGTGATAGCAATATCTGAAGCTCACTGAGTTGTTGGGTGGTGGTGTGTAAATGTAAGGGACAAACACCACACAACGACTGCCTAATAAAAAACAGCCTTCACTCAAAAACTTAATGAAACACATTTTGATGCCATTACTAAAGGCTAGATATTGGGCTCTTGGGTATGCTTTGTTTGACTTGTCTGATTTATGTACCCTTGGTAACTGGCCCCTGAAGCGTTTGAGTTTGTGGCTCCTGCCTGACCCAGTATCAATTGTAATCATGATGTCTTAGTTACTGAAGTGAGGGACATGGACTAATAATTTTTGTATGCTTGTCAATCAATGAGAGTGGTAATAAAATGGTTTGTGCTTAAATGTGAACTAAAACATAATTTAGTTGGAACACTGCAATTCATAAATATTTTCGTCACATTTTGTTTTCATTGTGTCACTGAGGCAAACCATTATTTTTTTCTCATTACCAGAGCCATTATAAAAGCAGTGCTAGTGTAAGCCTGGCCCATTTTATTCTGTGTGCAACTTTTGCTTTCAATTTAAAAGAAAAAATAAACTAGATATTTTTTGCAGAGATCATTTCCTGGTTACTTACTGCTAGTATGAGAAGCATTCAAAATTAGGTCTGTTCTGAAGTTACTGAAGTCATTATTCTCACGACATTTACAATTTAAAGCAGATAGTTCAGAGAGCAATCAGCTGATAACAGACATGTTGTTAGTTTTAAAAGTTGTAACAATATTTAAAAAAACCTACTGCACATGGACTTACTAGTAAAACTCTTTTGGGGCATTCTACCCGGGGGACAGTTCCTTTACTTTCCTGATTGTTCATGTTCATAACGCCCAAAAGTGCTAACACTGTAAACTGATCTTATCTCTCTACTTAATTTAAAAAGTTACATTTTTATGCAATGTTAAGTAGAGAGAAATAAAATAGGAATCATGAAGTAAGGTGAACATTTTTATTATATACTTTAGTTTGGCCATATTAGAAATACTGTTCTTATTATTCTGAGACTAAATAGATTATACAAATTCCTGTTGTCATAAAAGCCCTAATAGTTTGTAAAATTCCACCAGAGTTATAATTTATTTCCACAAGGTTATATGGCATGGCATATGTCTAAAATTATGAGACATTTCCTTGCCTTAAGGAATCCTTCCTAGATGAGCAACAGCACCCTCTAAAATGCAATTATGGAGAGATGACTTCAGTGACTTGGCAAGACTTCAAAAGAATAATGCATGGCAATTTGAGAATAATGTGATCATTGTTTTTATTTTTAAGAAAAGCTTCTCCTTGTTTCACAATAGAATAATTCCTCTTGTCTTTTCCACTCCCAAGAAAATAAATTGAAATTCCATCTCAGATTAAAAGAGGTTAACTAGAAGAAAGGAAAGATAAGAAATGACTAAATTGAAATGGATGGGTCAACCAAAGTGAAATGTGGCTGAGTAGAAGAGAATTACCAAAGGGAAAGATAGCTGAAATAACTCCAAACCCTACATTTTTAAATTCAAATTCTAGTTAACTTTTAAAATCTTTAAAATTTGAGGCTGCCTTCAAGAGACTAAACCAACCAAGGGTTGAACTTGTTTTATGCCGTAGTACAGTTGCTCCTCTAGACTTTCAATAAGTCTGGTAGGGTGTTCCACATTAACTAAATTTAAACAATTTAAATTTTACTCATGGGAACCACACACTTTCCAGCATAATTTATATGCTTTAAATATTGCAGTTTCCAAACTGAGCAGGAGGTGTCTTGGAGTACTGCAGTACACTCACCAGGGTGCCTCGAAATGTCTTACATTTTTAAGGGAAACACAGTGATACTTGGCATCTCTCAGGTACCTGGGTGTAGTTCACAGTTTTGAGACTATCTTTGGCTTGGTTCCTTTAGAAGACATGTGTCTTTGCAAAGCTGGGCAGAATGAAAATCAGTATGAAACAGGAAATGAGGGCGGCCATGTCCAATCTGATTCCAAGGCTTGGAAGTTCCCATTAGTAACTGATTTACTAAGAATGACACAAATATATGTATATGAGTTTCCTAATGTGTATTATATTTTAACTGACTGCTAAGTTTTTAGGACATAAATAGTTAAGGTTTTTGGACTTGACTACTTAAAAAACAGAATGGTCAGGTTTTTGTTTGGTTTGGTTTGGTTTTTGTTTTGGCTTACTGGCACCAGGGGGAAAATTACTGAGACACTAGAGTACAAAGATCTGAGAAAGTTTGGAAGTTTCTGTTCTAATATTTGTATGAATGTATAAATATGTGTCAATGTCAGAAATAAATGATGCTTTATGCAGTTGATTTTCTACATGTAGCATAAATAATGCTGGGAAAGATATGATACTAGGAGAGTATATGTAAATATGTGACTCAGAGCTAAAACACCCTCAGGAAGCAATCCAGATATTTGCTGATTAAAAAGAAAAGTCCCTAAATATAGATAAACTTCATAGGGCAGGAGTGAGATACAGAATATTGAAAGTTGGCCTTATTTTACTCCCCCCTGCCCCCCTGGCCCCCAGCTCCACCTGTTATATTGTGAGGCTTCCTTAGGCCAAAGACACTTTTCTTACCAATCCTTCATGTTTTTAGATACTAACCCTGAAGAACGAGTTTATTTATATAAAGCAGAGGTATACATGTAAACATATATATATATTAGGGTCCTTCAATTGCATGAAAGTAAGCTCTTCTATCACTTTTGTTTTCGTAAATATAGTGCTTTGTAGCACATCAGAAAGTCAGCTGCTAGATGTTGTCAAAGTATTTTAGCTTTATATTTCATTGACCAGCATTTATAGATTTCATTGTTCCAGAACTTCTCTCTCATGGCTTATCCTGACTATGTGTGATGCTCCTTGAGGTAATTTCTTGGTACAGAAATAGCTGAATTGCCCACTTAAACTTATGCTTCAACCAATAGTCATAACTACTAAGAGGCTATAGCTACATTACCATGCTTGTTGATCTGACATAGACGTTGTTTTTCAGATGGCAGTTTCCATCGTTTGGCACCACTATGCCTGCCAATTTGCTATCAAGAGCAAGATGAGATGTCTGATCAGTCATCACCAGCAGCAATCTTTTAGCTTCTTTTCGCCATCCAATATGACTCTTAAAAGAAACATGTAATTAGACCTTGTACAATAACATAGATTTGTACTGTGGTCTTTCTCTCAAGTAAACAATAAGATCACATGCACAGACATCAAGTCAGGCTTGAAGGATGTTCATAAATACAATGCTGTCTCATAAATAGAATTAAATTTTATTTCCATATTCTCTATTTTATTACAGCCACTTGACCACAATAGCTCTTGGCTAGAGATTTCTGTGATCCCCAGTGAAGACAAGCCAGGTATAAGAAGTGCAGATCACCCAACGTGATGTGAGTTGGGCAGCTGGCGCTTCCTGGGGGTGAGTGGAAAGCGCAACCCTTTTGGAAATGATTTTCTAAGTACATAAGTTAGTCTTTCCCTTTTATCTTTTCCTATTTATAACCCACTCCAAATTTAGCTCCTCAGTCCTAAACATAGACCAAAATGAGTAACATTGCTGATGAATAAGAGATATAGGTATTCTTCTATGCTATGTTTTCAGTCCATAAATCAAAAAGAAAATGAAAATCCTAAATTCTTGGGGAGTTTTGCATTTGCACAAACACTCAATGGTGTGAAACTTCTTACCTCACAGACAGCTGCCTGAAGCATAGCATCAAAACCTCCTTCAGGTGTATCGATATTTCCAGAGATCTTCTGTCTATGTACCGCTTTTTCAAACTCAGTGATGTTCTTTGTCAAAGATAGTACATGGATGTATCCATGGGGAGGCATACAGTCTAAATTGTAGTCGCTGTGTGGGTAAAGAAGAAATGAAAATTCTATTTTGCTATGCTTCCTTCAAAGATCCAAAATATTACTCACAGTAAAATTATGTGGTTGGTGTGAGAAGGTAATAGTTGTTTTTTTGTTTGTTTTGCCAAGGAAATTTTATTAGATAAAATCTGTACTTTATAAAGTCAAAGGACAGTTCAATATTGGTCAGTATTACTTTGCAAGTAGGAAATAGGAATATAATAACTTGGTGTTAAAAAAATAAAGAACATTAAACATGTTTCTTATATAATACTAGTAGGCCAGTGCATGAATTCATGCACATTGAAAGGAAATTAATTAGAAGAAATATTTTAATATCGTGATTTGCCGTTTCTCTGTAATAGAAATGTCAACCAAATTCACGATTGACACTGACAGATTGAAACACACACGTGCAATTGGCGCCAGCGAGAGCTTTATATGTATTGTGCATGCGCGAGTCAACTTAGCCATATATATATATATATATATATATATATATATATATATAATAAACTTGCTTAATTAGATCTGCTTTCTGATGTAGCTAAACTTTTGAAGCACCCCAACTTCATTTTCAGGTAATTGTCAGCAACACAGCAGTAAATATCAACACAAAGCAGATTATTGTAGATCATGCAGGGAGATCAAAGGGTACAATATTTAACTGCAGTATTGTTTGACTATATTGTGCACAGTGAGAAAGCCTGAAATCATTTTCAAGGTCCACCAGTTCTGCCGTTTCTCTGTAAATGGCCAGTGCACGTCACAGCAGCTCCTGTGTTGAGTGTCTGCCCCCTGGTGGTCAGTGAACATCATAGCAACCGGTCGGACGGTTGGACACTTAGTATATTAGCCTTTTATATATATAGACTAGAGCCCAGTGCATGAAATTCGTGCACGGGGGGGGGGGGGAATCCCTCAGCCTGGCTGCGCCCTTGGGGGATGTCCAACTGCTGGTCCCCTGGTGGTCAGTGCACGTCATAGCAACTGGTTGTTCTGCATATTAGGGTTTTATTATATATGATGATAGGACACTTAAGGGACTTTATTATGCTAATATGCAGTGTTAATTTTGAAGAGATAAAAATTTGTAGTGATTTCCTATCACATTTGACCATGGAACAACTGAAAAACACTTTTTAGGAAATGTTTTTTAGGATTTTAGTGAAAATACTATACTATTATTAGATTATTTTAAAATATTGTGCTATTTGTTAAATTGATGCTTGGTGTGCAATTATTGACTAACATTCAAAGTTCATTAAAATTGTTTTGAGCCCTAGCTGGTTTGGTTCAGTGGATAGAACATTGGCCTGCAGACTGAAGGGTCCCGGGTTCGATTTTGGTCAAGGGCAATGCCTGAGTTGCGGCCTCGATCCCCAGTAGGGGGTGTGCAGGAGGCCACCCGATCAAAGATTCCCTCTCATCATTGATGTTTCTCTCTCTCTCCCTCTTCTTTCATCTCTAAAATCAATAAAAATATTTTAAAAAATTGTTTTGAGAATTTCATGGTATTCCAAAAAGTGAGCATCATTTCTCAGGTGCATCCCTGCAGGGAGAAATCTCAGGAACCCCCCTGCAGTGTTTCATTCCTGGCTGCACTATGGCAGTGCTGTTTTGTTAATAAGTGTGTGTACTTACTATAAAATGGCCTGGGCTATTTATGGAAGTAGGAAATAAGATGTTAAAATGAAATGTTTTATTAAGGAGGCACTAAACATTTATATTTCTCTCTGAAAACTCAACAGGCTAATTAGACTACTGGGAGAAACTTGTATTCTTAAGATCAGTTTTGTTTTATAGTGGGGCATATGCTATTTAGAATTGGACTTTCAAAAGAAAAAGGGCTCTTTCTAGAATGCAAATTCTCATTTTATGACCTACCCTCCATGTGTTAGCTGAATTTGCTTAGTGGTCACGTCATAAGTAACAGCGTAATCCATAGTCACAATACAGTAAGGGGAAATAGACGCAGTACTGATAACATAAGTAGTATAAATTCAACAAACCTTAATTCAACAAATTTGAAGCAATCAAAAAGGAGAAATACAGAATGTTTAAAGAGGTATTTACATACATGGAAGCCTGATTATTGGGGGTTTGTCCAAAATTACTCATATTATTTGTGTTTTATGTGTGACAAAAAGTGAATGATATTTGAAAAAAATAAAAAATAAAAAGCCCAAGCAACAGATAATCTCGGAAGTTTTCAGATAGGAATATACTTCCCCTCCAAATATTTTCACTTCTCTAATAAAACAAAAATAGAAAATTTAGTAATTTCTTTATATAAAAACAGTGAGATTTAATACGAAGAAAATTTCATTCAGCATTATGATATCCACCTCAAACACTAGATACCTGCATTGATTGTGAATCCTTTCTGGGTGGATGCTAATATATGGTGAAACTGTTTTATCAACGTATGAACCAAATCCAAGACGAAAGTCATGGGAGAAAAATGCCATTTTTCTAGATAAATCATTTCCAATGGAATTTAGTTTTTCAATATTATTGTGCATTGATGCCGAGACATCAACCAGATAATAAAGATCCACAGGATATTTCTTCAGAGGATGAATTTTCAGCATAAAATTAGCTTCAGCTCCTAGTTCAAAGAAAGATAAATATCATGTATTTATTTTAAATATCTCAGGATAAACTGTCAATAAGTCACATTTTAGATATAGAACAATAATAACCAATTTGTGCATAATTTATGAAATCAGGAATATTCTGGAATAATTTTAAGGCAGTTTGAAAACCACACAAATGTGTGAGTTTCCAACTTTTACAATGCATTTCTCACTATTTTATAGGGCAGATAGAGATAATATCATCAAATGGACCAGCTCAATATAAATGCAGTAGGGAATGTATTTATTACCAACTGAACCTATAGTTCTAGTATCTAGAAAAGCACAGCACAAGACAGCAAGCAGCATTCCATCTCAAGAGAGAGTAGGTGGCTATGTTCATGTAAAGGTTGCTTTCAGGTATAAATTCATTCTTTTGGATTAAGGCATATTTATATATGAGATGTGAAACTCTGTTACTGAGCAGTATATTAAGCAATTCAAAACAATTAGTACATCATCAAAATTACTTGATATGATTCTTCTCAGCAATTAGTTGTGAGAAGGAATGAGAAAGTGGTGTAAAGAACAGTAGCCAGCAGTGCCACAGTGAGGACCATGTTGGGTTCTTTCTCAATAAACATGTTGCGGAGGGGTCATGGAGGCAAGGGAGCTGGGTGAGAAGAGGGTGACCACAAGGAGAGCCTTGGGAGCCTCCCAGGGACAGCCCTGCAGAGTTGGTAGCTCTGTATTCTTTTTTAAGTAGATAGTGAAAACATCAATTTAAATACTTTGTGAATTTTACTTTTTTAAATAATAAAGCAAATGCTTTGTAAGTCATTATTTGTCCATGGAGAATATTTTGAATGGAAATATTTTTTAAAAACACCAATTTGTATGCATAATTGGTAGTCTGATCTATCCATTAAAGGTATCCTCGAATCTAGCCAGTCATACCGGTATTTGCAGTCTTAATGTGCTTAACAGTAGCAGTATTTTCTCTTAAATTATTTCACAAATCAGAAGTTTTCCAGCCAGATTAAGGAATGCATTAAAAGTAATAAGTTTTTTTTTCTGATACCTAATAATTATGGGAGAAAAGGACTATTCATTCATTCCTAATTTGCCAACATATGGATGAAACGCCTTTACTGTAACACTCCTAATTTTTTGGCCCAAGAGTTTGGGGGAGAAATTTGGCATGTGTCATCGAGCTCAGCCAACTCTCTCAGTCCTTACATTTAGGAGCTGGGCTCAGCTTTCAGGTACCTGGTGTAAAAGCCTGACCATGTAGAAGTATCTGCAATGTGGGTAGAGCATTTTAATTCGGGAGAATGATAGAATTTGGCAGATAGGGCTGGATCGGTGAAAAACAGAAATGGAGTAGAACTGGGGAGTGCGGTTCATGAGGAGGACTTTGAACTTTAATGTGTGGGTCAGTATTGAAACATTTTTATTTTTATATTTTGACAAATTGCGTAGTTGCTTTTTAATCATTGACTTGGAGATACGGCTGAAGGCCTTAGGCACTGGCCACATGTTATTTTCATCTCGGTGGATCATTGCAGTTTATGGTGGCTCTGTCTAAAGATGAATGGCTGTCTGTTTTTTATAGTCATTGCAAAATAAACCAGTTAAGTGTATTGTGCAGGTTGTTATATTGTTGGTTATCTCAGCCAACAGGCAGAGTCTGTGAAGCATCAGCAAAACACAGTCCTTAGAGGCCTATTCAGGGAGCTCGAAGCAAATGCTAGTCACATCAGGGCCCTTAGCATATGCCAGTTGCTCATAGCCCAGCACACAAATCTTGGTCTCACTAGATGTTAGTAATTATTATCATTACTATTACTAGAGCAGCTTTAGGGTAAGAACTGTCTATCCATCTCTGAAGCCTCTAGGTTTTGTACATGCATAGCCACTTATAAATGTTCTTTAACTGGACAATATTTGAAGCACATTTACATATAGCCTTTTAAAAAGCCCACATATTTATCACAGTAAGAAGCTAATACCTATGATTTCTTTCCCACAGTTTAGGGGTGTCTTCGTTTCTCTCTTTAAGAGGAAAAAGGATTCTCTAGCCCCCAAATGTTTATGCTACTACCATGTATATTATTATCTCCAGGAAAGCTTCATTCTCATATCTTTTGAGATTCTAAAGGCTCAGATCCTTTAATAGAATGAGAAAGAGGACTTGGAGGAAAGTTGAGACCTACTTAGAGTTACTGCCAGTATTGGTTTGAATAGCCCAAAGAATTAATTAAAAGTTCTTAGCATGATTTTGAATCACTCAAATAATGGAGTGAGCATCTCTGAAGTACTGGCTACAACAAATATGACTGGGCATTAAGAAAAGATAATTTTAAAATGTTCTTCATAAGGTGAAATTGAAAAACCATAACAGAATATACAAAAATGTAGCAGGAAGAAAGAGCAGCCAATTACTATTAATTATACTTGGGCAGGGGAAGGAGAAGGCCCAAGAATGAGACTGGTATAAAATAGGAAAGCACAGACTCCAGCACAATTCTGAATTTTTGTGGTGGGTAAAATGGGGTATATGTGCAGGTGTGTGGGGGGGAAATGCATAATTTCTGCATTTTTATGTGTTTTTTTTTAAATTATTGAATTTAGGAAGAATACCTGAGAAATCTTACATTTTAAATTAAGCTGCACTAATAGAGAACTTTTTTGTTTACAATATTAAAATGAATCAAGTTTGAAATATTTTTTAAATGAGTGAAGTATAGATTATACTAATCCTTATCATATATTCTAGAGGCCCGGTGCACGAAATTCATGCACTCGGGGCGGGGATGGGGTGGGAGGGTGTCCCTCAGCCCGGCCTGCACTCTCTCACTGTCCGGGAGCCCTTGGGGGATGTCCAATTGCCGGCTTAGGCCCGCTCCCCACACGGAGCGGGCCTAAGCTGTCAGTCGAACATCCTTAGTGCTACCACGGAGGCAGGAGAGGCTCCTGCCACCACCACTGAGCTCACCAGCCATGAGCCTGGCTTCTGGCTGAGCGGTGTTCCCCCTATGGGAGCGCACTGACCACCAGGGAGCAGCTTCTGCATTGAGCGTCTGCCCCCTGGTGGCCAGTGCACATCATAACAATGGTTGTTCCGCCATTCGGTCGATTTGCATATTAGCCTTTTTTATATAGGATTGTATTACTCTAAACCAAAATTAGAGAATTCTCTTCTCTTTCCTATTTTCCTAAAGATTTCATTTCAGTGTTCTGAGGGAACATCAACTAGGATCAGTGACCTATTTCTGTTATTACTTTTCCATAGGATTGATAGGTAAAAATAAGAAAAAAAAGTATAGTTTAAGAAGTGAAAAATAAAATAAAATGTCGTTTTAAAAGCTCATTTTAAATATTTATTATATATTATACATATTTTTATATAGTCCTAACATTCTTTTAAACATTTAGTAAGTATGTGGTGTTATAGAAATATTTATAAATTTATTTTTAAAATTCTTAATAGATGTTATATTGAATGTCATGAATTTTTTATCAGTAAGCAATAAAATGATTATCTATAACCAAACCAAATAAATTACAACAATATTAGGGAATAGATACAATTTACACTTACGTATGCATTGTATCAAACCCTCACCTCTTTTTTTTTTAATTAATTCTCACCCAAGGATATTTTCCATTGATTTTTAGAGAGAGTGGAAAGGAGTGGGAGAGACAGAGAGAGAAGCATTGATGTTGAGAGAGACATATCAATTGGTTGCCTCCCACACGCACCCAAACCAGAGCCGGGGTTTGATCCTGCAACCAAGGTACATGCCCTTGACCAGAATGAACCTGCGACCCTTCCTGGGCTGATGCTCCATCCACTGAGCCAAACCAGTTAGGGCAAACACTCAACTCTTATATGTATAATGGTGGAATGGACTTTGACATTATGAAGAGTGATGTTTCTATATATCTGGAGTTAGTACAATATAGCCCTATATATTCTGCACCAAAGCTGGGATGTCTTTGATGTCACAATGCATTGTTTAGATCAGCGGTTCTCAACCTGTGGGTCGCAACCCCTTTGGGGGTTGAACGACCCTTTCACAGAGGTTGCCTAAGACCATTGGCAAACACATAATTACATATTGTTTTTGTGATTAATCACTATGCTTTAATTATGTTCAATTTGTAACAATGAAAATACATCTTGCATATTAGATATTTACATTACGATTCATAACAGTAGCAAAATTACAGTTATGAAGTAGCAACGAAAATAATTTTATGGTTGGGGGTCACCACAACATGAGGAACTCTATTAAAGGGTCGCAGCATTAGGAATGTTGAGAACCACTGGTTTAGATGAACTTAATAAACCTAATTTAATGACTCTTTGCTATATATGCAGATTATAAAATACTAGAGGCCCGATGCACGAAATTCGTGTAAGAGTAGGCCTTCCTTCCCCCTTCCCCCGGCTGCTGGCACCGGCTTCCCTTTGGCACCCGGGACATGGGCTTCCCTCGCAGCCTTGGCTTCATCTAAAAGGTGGTCCAGAAGGATGTCCGGTCTAATTAGCATATTATGCTTTTATTATTATAGTTATGTCATAGCTATGTTGGAAAGATGACTTACACACATTAGATAGTTTTATTAATTTTCAAACATAAATTCAAATAGTAGAGGGAATGTGAGTAAAATCAAGCCCATAATAACTGACATAGACATCAAAACATTTCTCTTTTCACTCTTCTACTACCAATGATCACATGTATACTGCCTTCACTTATCATCTCATGCTGACATCTCCCATGTCTCTATCTCCAGTCTGTATCTCTCCCCTGAACTCAGCCTCATACAGATAAGTCACTACCTCAACCCAAGTAGTCCCAATTTGAACTCATTACCACCCCCTCTACAGAGGGCAACCCTCCCCTTCTCACCTAGATGCTTGAACCTGAGCCCACGTGTGCCCACACTCATCATCAATCACAAACCTCTGAGGATGCTACCTCCCAATTATCTCCCAAGTCTGTCAATCTTTCTCCTGCCTCAATACCATTATGCCATTATTATCATTACTATCATTGTGGAAATAGCAGTGAAACAATTTTTCAACTTTTGAACTGTTAATTTATAGTCTTGGGAGGATTCAATCACCATTATATATAAAAAAGGGACCAAGCTAAAGTCATCGATGTGTATAAATTTAAATGTAACAAACCAGTAGAAAAAAAATGCACCTTGTAATTTCAAATCTTCAAATATTTTTTAAAAAGACAGTTTTAAAGGACATAGTCATATTAGTTAGAGGTAAATTGTATATACACTTCATGTGTACTTTTATATCTTCATTAGGTTTTTTAGGGTTTCCTTGTTTCTTGAGTCAATTTTTAATCACATATTTTCTACAAAATTATATTATCAAGATTTATACATTTTACCATGGATTTTTGTGTTTAACATTTTCTTAAAGTCTTTTATCCCATTATTTGTTTCTCTAGTTATAGTCTATATAATTAGGTTATTTGCTTTTTTGTTCTTTTTCTTAATTAGATTTGCCAACAGTTTATCTATTTGATTAGGTTTTATAAAGAATTTGCTCTTGGATTTATACATTCATTTTCCTTTTTTATTTCTATTTTACATTTCATTAATTTTGTTTTATTCTTAAATTATGAATTCCTTCGTCTTGTTTTCCTTATGGTGATTTTGTTTTTGTTGTTCCTATACCTTTACTTGGATACTTAGTTATTTTTTTCATTCTTCTTTAATAAAAAAAGCATTTAAAATTTTGAATTTTCCTGAGAACAGTTTCAATCACATACCATATATCTTGATGGTTTTTGCTGTTATTATTATTATTAAATAGTCTATGACTACAGTTGTTATTTATACTTGGTGATAGAATTTATGTAGAAGTTTTTATGAGTTTCTCTGTTATTTAATACTAGAGGCCTGGTGCACAAAAATTTGTGCACTTGGGGAGGTTGTCCCTCAGCCCGGCCTGTGCCCTCTCTCAGTCTGGGACCCCTCGGGGGTGACCACTTGCTGGCTTAGGCCTGCTCCCTGGGGGATTGGGCCAGGATGGCAATCAGACATCCCTCTGGCAGCCCGGCAGCCCTCGGGGGATGTCCACTTGCCAGCGGGGAGCAGTCCTAAGCTGCAGTCCAACATCCTTAGCGCTGCTGAGGAGGCAGGAGAGGCTCCCACCACCACCGCTGTACTGGCAGCCATCAGCCTGGCTTGTGGCTGAGCAGAGCTCCTCCCCTGTGAGAGCGCCCTGACCACCAGATGGCAGCTCCTGCATTGAGTGTCTGCCCCCTGGTGGTCAGTGTGTGTCATAGTGACCAGTCATTCCCAGGTGTTCTGCTGTTAGGGTCAGTTTGCATATTACCCTTTTACTATATAGGATAGAGGCCTGGTGCACGGGTGGGGGCCGGCTGGTTTGCCCTGAAGGGTGTCCCAGATCAGGGTGGGGGTCCTGCTTGGGTGCCTGACCAGCCTGGATGACGGGCTGATGGCTATTTGCAGCTGGTCACACCCCCTTCAGGGTGGGGGTCCCCACTGGGGTGCCTGGCCAGTCTGGGTGAGGGGCTGAGGGCCGTTTTCGGGCTGGTGGGCAACTGAAGCTCCCAGCCTCTCCTTTTTTTCTTTTTTTTCTTTTTTCTTTTTTTTTATTCTGGAATTTATTTACCTTCTATAGCTGTCACTGGAGCTGAGAGCTGGCTCCAGCTCTGAGGCCCGGTTCCAGCTCTGAGGCTGCGGCTGGCTGAAAGCAGGTATCTGGGTTTGTTTAGCTTCTATATTGAAACATTGTTGCCATCACTGCCGCTCTAAGCTCTGAGGCCGAAGCTGGCTAAAAGCAGGTATCCGGAGCTTGTTTAGCTTCTATAATTGCAACTTTGTTGCTTAGAGTGTAGCTTAGAGCAGGCTGAGGCAGGCAGGGAACTTTGGCTTCCTCCGTCACTGGAGCAAGCAAGCCTCCTGTTCGTTTCAGCTGCCTGGCTGCCGGCCGCCATCTTGGTTGGCAGTTAACTTGTATATCTCGCTGATTAGCCAATGGGAAGGGTAGTGAAGTTATGGTTAATTACCATGTTTCTCTATTATTAGATAGGATTTGTTCATCCTCTCATAGTGATTTCAAATTTTATTGTACAGTACTCAGAGATATTGGCCTATAAAAAGTTCCACTTTTTGGAAATCAGTTTTCTTGTCTAAAATTTGATTTACTTCTGAAATTATTTCATGACCTTTGAAAATATTATTTTATTTATCAAGTGCTATGGACTAAATTGTGCCCCTTCCATTTATATGTTGAAGTCCTAACTCACAATGAGATGGTGTTTGGAAATGGGCCCTTTGGGAGATAATTAGGTTTAGATCAGGTTGTGAGGGTGGGGCTCTTATGAGGGGGTTAGTGTTCTTATAAGAAGTGACACAAGGGAGCTCTTTCACTATATCTTTCTCTCTCTGTTACTCTCTCGTCCTCTCCAGGAACTGAACCAGCTAGCACATTAATCTTGTACTTCCTAGCCTTTCAAACTGTGAGAAAATAAATTCCTGTTGTCTAAGCCACTTTGTATATGGCAGCAACAGAAGGTGGCAAGCATCACAATCTTACTTTCATTTTTGTGTGTATCCTTTCCCAACTGTTGCTCATACTTTGTGCTATATAATTGTTTTATATGGTGACAAGCACAGTTTTAATTGGAAGCTTGGAATATGCCAAAAAAGAAATGGACTTTGTTTCTCTGGTAATCCAAGAGTGTGGAAGAAATAGTTCAGCTTTGGAATAGGGAGCTTGTGTGTCAGTAATGGTTATTTAAAAATTTAATGACAGGACAAGATCACCCAGAATAAAATAATGAAGGCTTGCATATTAGTTAAAGCTAAACATTTAATTGAGTGATGCACACCTGTGTACCTAAATTTATCTCACCATATGTGGTTGTACACTGGGATTCTCTAACACTGGCAGAAAAGAAATAATTTCTAGTGGCCTATTACTTATGCCAAACTGTGGAACAATGCGATGGAAGGGCAAGTACAGAGGAAATATAGGAGGTAGAGTATGTACTAGTGTCAGGGGCCATCACAAAGCTGTTCAAGTTAATTATGACAATTATGAATTGTAGTTTTGTGTCTAAAAGTTTATGTCTAAAAGTCACAAAGGCTCTAAGGACAGCTTAATTCACATCTCTTACTAATTAATTATTCAACCAATAAATTCAACAAATACTTATAGAATGCTTACTATATGCCAGCATTGGAGAAACAGAGTGGAATAAAATATGTTCTCTTTCTTCCAGGGCTGGCAGTAGGGCAAGAATACAATTACACTACAGCATGATCAAGTCTGGAAACACATAATTATAAAATAGTGCCGTCAAGTTTGCTGGAGTGTCTGAGGCCACACAGCTAGCTAGCTATAGGCACAATAAAGGCTAGAATTCTGATTTCCTGATTCTGAGCCCACTTTTATTTTCACTACAACAATACTGCCTGCCACAAATTATTAAATATGAGCAAGTAAAAATTTCAAATTAATAATCATCATGATTTATTTGAAAATCATCAAACCTGGTCGCAGCTGGACCAATACTTCTCCTGGTGTCACCTGGGTATTAATTTCATTTTCAGTTGGTATTACATTCACAGACGGGTATTCTATTGAATCAATCAAACATCCTTTGCTTATTAAATTGGAAACAGTATCACAACGTTCACTCCTTGATCCACCTGAAATGAAATCCTGTTTAAAAGAAGGAAAATCACTGACATTTTTAGTGCCTATCATCTCAATTAAAACCAAAAAAAACCACATAACAAATTTTGCAAAGAAGCCATCTTCTAATATTGCACCATTTATGCAACTATCCCAAAGAGCCACTTGTTTCCAATAAGAGTACTGGCAAATTTGTTTTAAGTAAGCTTTAATTCCTAAATCTTATTTAAAAAGAAGAAAATGAATATTAAAGAGGAGATTTAAACCAAGTACTTTTGTTAACTGATCACTGTAAAATTATACCAACGTAATATTTTACTTTGGAGAGACTGCTCCAGAAGAAAATTTATCCAAAATAGACCATTCAGCAGTTTCAGATTTAAGCCTTAGTTCTCAAAGAACTCAACTGGTATGTTTATTACGTATTGTTATGTTTGGAATATGAGAGCGAGTCCTCAGAAGTCACATGCTTAATTGAGTACAGAAAATTCATAAGAGAATGAATTGGAAATCTTCATTTCTTAGCCTGTGAAATCTGTCAACTTCTTATACACACAACAGTAATTCAATAATCAAGTACGATTGATGCTCATAATGAGGCAGGGAGATAAGATGGCAGCTCAAATTCTCCTTATTTTGCAACTGAATCTAAAATGTTCATTATCTTTCAGCATTGGCTAGTTGATGTTTATCCAAGAGCCATCCAATAAACTTGGAATTAATGGAGCAACCTTGAAATTTAGTTTATCTTAACTGTGAAGAAAATGATATTTTTATTCTTCATGTAATCATTCAGATTTTTTTCCTAAGAACAAGATATGTATTGAAAAGTACAGAAATATATTTTATTATATATAATGTTGGCCTGAATTATATGTGATATTTGCTTACACATTAGTTAGATACTTATTTGCTCAGTGATCTTCCTGGCAATTCCGTTTCTTTTTTTAAAATATATTTTTATTGATTTCAGAGAGGAAGGGAGAGGGAGAGAGAGAAACATCAATGATGAGAGAGAATCATTGATAGGCTGCCTCCTGTACGCCCCACACTGGGGTTCAAGCCTCAACCTAGGCATGTGCCCTTGACCATAATTGAATCAGGGACGCTTCAGTCCTCAGGCCAACACGCTATCCAGTGAGCCAAACTGGCTAGGGCCTTCCTGGCTATTTCCATCTGGCATTTAGTTATTCCTCCTTTAGTTCAGCTGATTCAGAGAACTGGATTATTATCAATTAATCATTCAATCAAAGAATACTTACTCAGAAACAGAAGTATTTTAGGTGCTGAGGATACAGAATAGAACAAGGTAGACATAGTTCCTGTCATCAAAGAGTCAATAAACCATCAGTGAATTCAGCCATGAAGCAAGGAAATGTAATAATCATGGCCATTAAACTTAGGGGAAGCACAGATTGTCCTAGGGTTATGGAGATTATTAAGTTTAATATTAGTTGATTATGAGATCACTCACTAATTATGGACAGGGACATCCCTGGCAGTGGAGAGTAATTAGATGGGATGGTGGTAGGCAATATAAAAACATTCATACAAGGATTTTAATTTAATTCCCATCTCAATTTAGAATAAGGGTTGGAAAACTAGTAAGGAACAATGGGACAAATAAAACCCATGGCTTTTTTTCTATGGCTTTAATGCTAAAAATGTTTTTTATAATGATTTTAAAATGCTATAGTACAATAAAAAGGAGAATATGCAACAGAAAAAGTATGTAGCTCACAAAATGTAAAAAATTTTACTATGTGACCCTTTACAGTACTGATCATTAGAGTGTAGAGCACACTTTGTAATATAAATATAATGAAAATACTAGAGAATATTTCATTTCCAATCAATTTTTTCAGATGTCATTTGGTAAATTACTTCATGGAAATAGAAAAAATGTAATTTGCTTTTCTATTGACCATATACCTAGATTTTAGACAGAAATTAAAAATGTTCAAAGCCTTAATTTTGTGTATTCAAATTTACCCTATCTACTGATAAAACTTAGAGGTACTAAGAATGTGAGATTTGGTTTATAAACAACTTGGAGTTCCTCAGAGAAAGTGGCATATACTTCTATTGTATGTGTAACTTTTCGTCAGAAAGCCTCAGGCTAGGTGGGGGTGGGGAATCCCACCTGTGCCAGAGCTTGGGGAATATGTGCTCATTCATGCCTCACATGAAAGGACACAGACCAAGGGCCACATGTGTTTTACAGATGTAAAATCCCAAGCCTTCAAATCAGGAAAGGGATAAAGTACAAATAACTCTGATTTTTTTTCAGCCAGGGGTTTTGCTATTTGTATATACAGAATGGAAAAGAAGTGAGTGTGGTTGATTCACTACAAGTATAGATCATGCTATGCCATTTGACCTTTAAATGCCAAATAAGTTTGCTGATATAGACCAAATAGTCTCAATTATTCTGCAATGTCTAAATCAGCCTGGTTGTTTTTACTCCAATGTAAAAATAATGTTGTACACTTGAAATGAATATAATATATGCCAGCTATCATTTAAATTTTTTTTAAAAGATGTGAAAAGGAGATGGGCTCTTGTTTGCATTTTTAAATAGCATGGTCAGATGACATTTGAACAAAACTGTGAAGGATCAGAGAGTGAACTACAGGGATTTCTGGAGGAAAATACACGAAGAGGAAGCATAGTGTGTAAATGCCCATGCAGAAAGAACTATGTCTGGCTTAGGCAAGGCCAATTCAGAGGCCAGAAATAATAATAATAGGAATAAAGTAGCTAACTTCTATTGAAAAACACACACACACACACATAACTAAGTCATAAAACATTGCCAATTTGACAATTAGGGTTGAAAAGGGAAGAACAGACCATGGCATCAAAATGAAGAATGGAATGCTGCCCCTATCCACTGTGGCCTACTTTCCACTTTGTATAAAAGAAAAGAATTTGAAGCCACACCCATTTAATTTTTTGTGTTTTGTAGCATTTTAATTTCTTCTAATTCTTATGTTTTACTTTTTCTACAAGAAGCACTCAAGCAAACTCAGACTTCAGCTGTCTGCATCTAAAACCTATTTGGTGATGATGTTTTGTTTAGTTATACACTTGAACCCTGCATGGTTTTGTTAACCGATTTTACCCCAATTAACTCGACAACAGCAAAACTAGAATCAAATGTTGAGTTTTTAAATTTGGCATCAAATTCTATAGTATAAATTTAGTTATTTTGAGGTTATTAATTGAATTGATATTACAGTCCTGGAAATTTTTTTTTTCAGTCCTGGAAATTTTATGTCATATAAAAATCTCCTCTAAAGTGTTTCAGTATTCTTTTTCTTTCTAAAAGATATTACTTTATATTTTCAATAAATAAATAATAAAACCTGTTTGGAATGAAAAGGCCATGTTAAAGTTACCCTGGCTGGCTTTTCTTCAGTTATTACTTTCACCCATTTAATGGAATAATCTGGGGAGATACATAAGAAAAGTGTTTTATCCTCCTCATTTCTGAGTCCTGAGTTTCAGATTTGGCAATCTGCACAAAAATGAAAGAATTCTATCATCTTCTTTTTGATAGTGAATGCCGTTTGTATCATATTTTGATATAATTATGCTCCATGGCTGCCCTCTAAACTTCTGGTTATGCAATCACAACCTGTATGTGACATATCAGGCAGGAGAGGAAGAGAGACTGGTCAAGTCCTTCACATATGTTAAAAATGAACATGCAGCAAACTAGGTAATATTGATAAGGTTCTGTTTATCTTCAATATTTTTCAATTGCTTTTCTGTAGCATGGAGGGAAAGAGAAGGTAAATATATATATATATATATACATACACAGATTTACATGCTACACAAGAATGTAAGCAAATTGAGTATATATCCTGTGTAAATTTTCTAGAAATCTTTTATTTTTTGTTATTAAAAATAAAGAGATGGGTGGGGGAGGGGAAGAAAAAAGAGAACAAGGAGAGAGAGAGAGAATACACAGAGAGGGTTTTTTGTTTGTTTGTTTTTCTTTATTGATTGCTTTGTGATTTATAGTACAGTTGTCATTCTTAGTTCTAGTTATTTCACTATATATAACTAGTGAAATAACTAGGCATATATATATACATATATATGTATATCTATTATATGGTCATAGGTTTGATTTTATTCAGGTCTTAAGAGTCTCTTAGCTAAAATGCTTACAACAAACTGATAATTAATTTAGCTTCAGGGCATGAATACTGAAGAAAAATAGATACCAATTAAGTTTCTTTAAACTTTTTAAATTTTATTTTTCAATCACAGTTCACATTCAATGTTATATTAGTTTCAGGTGTATAACATACTGATTAGACATTTATAATAACTTGTGAAGTAATCATCCTAATAAGTCTGATACCATACATAGTTATTATAATATTAGTGACTATATTCTAAGCCAGTGATGGTGAACCTATGACACATGTGTCAGAGGTGACATGCGAACTCATTTTTTTGGTTGATTTTTCTTTGTTAAATGGCATTTAAATATATAAAATAAATATCAAAAATATAAGTCTTTGTTTTACTATGGTTGCAAATATCAAAAAATTTCTATATGTGACACGGCACCAGAGTTAAGTTAGGGTTTTTCAAAATGCTAACATGCCGAGCTCAAAAGGTTCGCCATCACTGTTCTAAGCTGTACTTTACATCCATAACTGTTTTGTAACTGCCAATTTGTACTTCTTAATCCCTTCACCTTCTTCACCCAGCCCCTCAAACCCACTCCCATCTGGGATCCATCAGTTTGTTTCTGTATCTATGAGTTCGTTTCTGCTTTGTTTGTTTATTCTGCTTTTTAGGTTCCAAATATAAGTGAATTCATATGGTATTTGTCCTTTACTGTGACTCATTTCACCCAAGACAACACCCTCTAGGTCCATCCATGTTGTCCCAAGTGGTACGATTTCATCCTTTTTATGGCTGAGTAATATTCTATTGTATATTCAGGGTGTCCCAAAAATGTATACACACTTTGAATAAATATAAAGGCAGTGTTTATTAAAATACATCTCATTTTCAAAATGTAATTGAGTCAGCTATTAAAGTGTATATACATTTTTTGGGACACCCTGTAGGTACCATTTCTTTTTTATCCATTTGTCTTTTGACTGGCCCATTTAATCCATTTACATTTAAGGTAATTATTGATAGGTATGTACTTATTACCATTTTATTAATAGTTTTCTGATTGTTTTTGTAGTTCTCTTATTTTCTTAGTTTCTTGCTCTCTTCCCTTGTATGTTGATAACTTTTTGCAGTGTTGTGTTTGGATTGCTTTCTCTTTATTTCTTGTATATCTCTTGTAAATTTCTGGTTTGTGGTTTCAATGTGCTTCATATATACCAAGCTATGATTATAGTAGTCTATTTTAAGTTAACAGTCGCTTAAGTTCAAACACATTCTAAAATCACTACCATTTTTACTCACCCCCTCCATGTTTATGTTTTTTTTTCAATCTATTCTACCTTCTTTTGTGTGTTTGTGTGTATCCCTTAATTTACTATTGTAATTACATATGATCTTCCTACTTTTGCCTTTTAACCTTTACTGGCTTAGTGTTGGTTGAACTACTGCTTTTATTATGTGTTTGCCTTTGTCAGTGAGAGTTTTCTTTGCGATATTTTCTTATTCATATATTTTTAAATTTTTTTGTTCTTCATTTTGAAGAAGTCCCTTTAACATTTCATGTAATGCATTTCTTGGTTTGATGGTAATGCATTCCTCCAGCTTTTCTTTTACTTTTGGCCAGCTTTGAAAATCATATAAGCCAGGCTTAAGAACAAATAAAACCACATCTTCCTTCTCTGTCCCTCTACCCTACTGATTGAGGAATAATAGACATCAGTTGCATGCATACCTAAGTGGTGGGCGATCTTTCAAAACCAACCACTGCATTCTTTCTCTTGGTGATGTCAGGTCAGCCTGTAGGAGTGGACAGCTCCTTCTGTTAATGATGTGGCTAGTGGCCAAGTCCTAACACTGGTTGCTTCACCTAGGGTTGTGTTCTTAACACAGGCAATTCTGATTTTCCCAAGCCTGAATGAATTGCTCCAGAGTTTCACCGAAGTTCTTATAATAACAACTCCCATTTCTTAAGCAATGTCTGTTTGCCAAATGCTTCCCACACATTGTTTCACTTAATCTTCACAACAGTGTGTCATAAGTGCAGTTATTATTTCCATTTTAAAGCTAGGGAAAACTGAGGTTCAGAGGACATGTTAATATGGTACTATGGTTAGAAATTGATGGAACTGGGATTGGAATCCAAGGTGATCTCATTTCAGATCCTGCTCTTTCAACCTCTAAATTACCGTAGACTACCCTTCAGTACATAGAATATTTTGGGACATGAACAGCCAATTCATTTCTGAATATTTTCTGAGATCCCTTTATGGGGATTTGATCAAGAGCATAAACAGGTTTTGTCTTCTCTGCCCTGGCAGCCACCCACCTCTTCCCTTGGCTTACCTCCTTCCATTGGACCGACCATTCCTCTGAATAATCCCTCCTCCCCTGGCAGGACTGACATTGCAACTCACATAACTGTGACTCTCCAGATTTTTTGTGCCAGCAGAGGTGTGAGATGGAGAGGAACCCTTTGGAACCAGACCTTCTATATGGCTGTCATGGTGCATTTAGCTGACAACTGGGTTTCCAAACCATCTTTTGAAAGTTCTTCTAAACTACATACACTAAAGTTCTCAGCAACTAATGTCAAGTTGGCCCAAACTCCATGACTCTAAGGATCTTCCTTAGTGATACAGTAAAAATGTAAAATGGAGTATTGGGTTAGGGTCAGGAAACATCAAGCTATGATGCATTCTTGACAGAGATACTCTAATTTGGAGTGATATCTGATTTTGTCACTGGTAAAACCCAGGCCACATTCAGAAGCCTTGAGGCTGTCAGTAGGAGGGGCACTTACTTTCAGACATGGCTACTGTTCCATGAACCCCTCCCCTACCACTTTCTTGCCTTGCCTCGTGAAAGAAAATAACATCCACTATCTTTTGCTACTTTTCACCTTTCTTTTTTCCTCCTTGGGGATGCGTAAGAGCAAGCAGTAATAGGAGAGGTTGGAAAGATGATGGTAGGTGCAGTTTTTGAGCTAAATCAGAGGAAGTAAAGCTAGAGGTTTCTCTTCATCCCAAGCAAAAGGCCATTAAAGATCTATCTGTTCTAATTCTTAGGGGCTACATAAATAAATACAAAATTACCTACGCAGTCTCACCCCAAATTAGCAGATGGCTTCTTCATTACAACTTATATAACAGGTGGTTCTAATTAGAGATTACCAACAACAACACCCACAAAACTACTTTAGAGAAGGAATACATTATAATTATTTTACTAAGAAGTTATTGGGATATGTTTCTCTTGTTAGGATGTAAAACACAAATTTTTAACAATAAACATTTCTTAATTATTTTCTATACCACAGAATTTAAATGTACACACTATCACATGTCAAAAGAAAAGCACCCCATTTTCCATAAGTTACTAAAGAATTGATATACAATGTTATGATAGGGTAAATCACTTATCTCCAAGTATTGCAAATAAAACAAATGAAACCGACCAATAAATTAGCTTGCTTTTGTTTATTAAGCAAGTACAAGACAACGATCCAACTTGGATATATAACCGAATGCCCCAAGCTGCAACAAGAATTTCACTCAAAGCCTTCTGACCTAAGCAAAAGTTACTATCTGCGTTTGCCAATTTTCTCTATAGAACAGATGGAAAACATAAAATGGTTTGCACTTCATTTCAAAATTACCATAATTTTCCTAATAAAAAGGTTATACTTTATATTCAGCCAGATATGCTGTTTCCAGGCATAAAACCAAATAAAATTTTCCTGATGCTCATCAGTATCGTTTTCCTGATACACCTTCAAGGTACGGAGTTTAAGGCCAATGAAATTATGCTAGAGAGAAGGGCAATTGTGAGAAAAACAGAAAAGAGAAAAAAAAGAACAAAGAAAGAAAAAAAATTAGGCACACCTCTTGAGCACACCATCCACATTCTGGATCTAGCGCAAGGCACTTGGTGCAGGATGCTGCATTCGAAGATGCACATCTGCTGTTTTCTGAAATGGAAGACAAAATGAGGGGTTATGGCTTATTTTCCTACTGGGAAGTATATACAGTTCTAGACCAAAATGTTTTTTGAAAACTGAAATAAGATGACAGTAGTTTTAAGTACATGACATCAAAAAATACACAACTTCTTTTGGGAGGAGTTAACCTGCTCATTGTTATTAATAGGTACTGCATTTCCTGGATAGTTATTATTTGGTTTTATTATTTGGGGGAAATAAGAGTGGTAGAAATATGATTTTAGCTAGGTTTTGGGGTTTGGCTTGAATTCTCCTCCAATAGTAGAGGACCCTCCAAAGTGTTTAATGTGTTGAAGTTTCACTGTATTTATATTATCTGAACCAATGAGGTGTTTTTGGATCTAGAATTTTTCCTGTAAGAATAATCAAATACAGACCTCAATCTCAACAGGAAAATCCACATTGAGTCATAGTGAATGATGTTCCTGAGAAATAATCTTGAAGGACATATATTGTAATTAATTTGTGTTAATATTGATTATTTTGACTTGAAGGGTAACAGAATCAGATATGATTCAGTATTTTAAAGGTAAAATGGTTAAAATGAATGAGTTGTTTTAGTTCATTTAATTACTCTGACTGGACCACTTTAATTCATGACCAATTCACTTTTCCGTAGATACCCACACTTGGCTGTGACATTTTAATAACATAATTGTGCTTAGGAACTATTTACCTTTGTTCCTCTAGCCACAAACTACTTACACCATTAGAAAGAGGCTCATCATTATAGACTTAAACACATAAAATATAACAATGAGTCATAAATTACTTTATTGTGAGTTTTTAGTGGCATAATCACATCCTTTTTAAAAATATATATTTTTTATTGATGTTGGAGAGTAAGGGAAAGGGAGAGAGAGAGAAACATCAGTGATGAGAGAGAATCACTGATTGGCTGCCTCCTGCATACCACCTACTGGGGATCAAGCCGGCAACCAGTGCACATGCCCTTAACCAGAATTGAACCTGGGGCCTTTCAATCCACAGGGCAATGCTCTATCCATTGAGCCAAACCAGCCAGAGCCACATCCTTTCTATATTATCCCTACATGCTTCCTACATTCTATCCTTTACTGTTTACTCTGAAATATCCCAAGGACACTGGAAACCACAGCATACTGTCCAACTCACTCACAGGCACACAGTAAATAGCATTGACATGCTGGCTGTAAGTACCTCACAGTCCAGGTGAGAAGAGAACTATATAAGCAGACAGTGAAACACAATGTGATAGCACAAGGGAGAGACCATCAGGGCACTATGAACATAGTGAGGAGATGCTCACTCTGCTTTATTTTTATTTTTAAAACTATTTTTTATTGTTAATAGTATACAGATATCTCCTATTTCCCCATCACTGCTTTAGAGGGACGGTTCCCCTGAGGCAGTGATATCTAGTATGTCTCTTTGCCATCCTTCTTTGTTTATTCTAATCTGTGCCTGTTTCTTTTAAAAATGTAATAGGCATGAAAGAAGACTCTGTGCATGCACAATCACACATGGACATGATGGTTTGAAAGAGAATAGAGCCCACAAAGTCTCTAGCTGTCCCCATCCAGTTGGTTTCTCTTTTTCTTCTTTTTTAGCTTGCCCCAAACATTCTAGAAAACAGGGCTAAAACAGTTCAGACCTGGAAATGGCGTAGGTGTTTGCAGTGAGAAGAGAGAGGAACTGTAGGAGAGTAATCATAGCAGAGAGGTGCTAACCGGGGTGGTAGTGAGTACTCTTCCCTGTAACTCCCAAGATAGCAACGAGTTAAGCTGCAAGTATCCTTCCCTAACATCCCTGCTGTTCTATTATCTCCTCTCTGTATCCCCTTGCACCCTTTGTCCTTGGCTTTATATCAACTTTTAAAATACATTATCTAAAACGTCTTCACTAATATAGATGCACTGGCCTGGAATTCCAAGGACAAAAATAAATACTGTTTTGGGGTCCCTTTACTACCAGTGTGGCCATCTCCTAGTAACTAGGAAGACTCCAATAGCCTAAAATCCTTCCAACTGGCTTAGCGCAAAACTGTAAAAGATGCTTATTCCTAAAGTAGTCAGAAGAAGGAGTGACCTTCTTACTTGTTTCCAGAAAGAAAAACAATTTAAGTCCAGAAATCAAGCACATTTGCAGACCCAACTTGACCTTTACCAACTCTTTACAACTTTTAAACTTAACCCAATTGGAACATGGAATTAAGGTTATTGCAGATCATACTTGACCAAGCCTTTTACTGACTCAGTAGGACTTTTGCTCTGGCAGTTAAGATTGCAATCTCCTGGAAGGAAGCAGCAGATCCTACAGCTCTGCTCCTCATGTTTGTAATGGTTTTCTCACTTTGTCCTAGGTCAACCCAAATTCAAGTTCAAGTTAGGCTCCCACTTCCATAGCACATGAGGTAAATAATGAATATATGAACAAAAATGTGTGTTCTTTGTATTCTGCTTTCTGGCTTCGTCCTTGAAAAAGCTCTAGGCCAACCTCTGTTCTGAAACTTTAGACACCTAAGGATGATGACTACGAGGGATAGACTTTGGTTCTGTCAATACTTTCCAGGTTTAAAAGCTGACATTTCTCAGAGTCTACAGAACTACCAGAAATTGATCCCATAAATGGATATGGAGGAGGTGGGTAGGCCTTACGGTTCTGCGGAACTAGAGGAAGGCCATAAATTGAACTCCAGGGGAATAGTGTTGAATGTTATTGCTGTAGAGTGTCATGGTTAGAATTTACAGAAGACAAGCCAGATACACTTTGGTAAATAGCATTTTAAGGAATTTTTTTTTGAACTTTAAAACATGCAATTAAGTAAAAACCTAACACAAAAATGTTACACTAATTATAGCAATTCTTTACACTAAATGGATATGCTATTATGGGGCTATCTGTTACTATGTGTTAGGAGTGTGTGTGTGTGTGTGTGTGTGTGTGTGTGTGTGTGTGTGTATCTGTCTCTCTCACACACACTTCTGTGCAAATAGAAAGCTTTACACTGCCCACACATCAATGTATGACTTCTGTTTACTGACACTGGCAGTTTGTCATCAGCCTCTGGGTCTACTCAGTTCATCCCCATCCCTGATTCAACATCACAGGAAGGCAACTTTCCAGAGTTGGTTTCTAGCAGCTGTCATTGCTGACACTTCATTAGAGGGTGTGCCTGAGTGGTTCTTCTTCCCTCTAGGACAGTGGGAACTTCTTGTCCAGTATTTGTCCAGTGTTGTGCATTAAAGACCTTGTTCTTTATGTTCTAGCACCGTGTTTTCGTTAAGGATAGTTTTTTAAAATGGATTGTACTGGAAATTCTTAATCCAGTGGAAGCAGAAGGATAATATTTTAAACCACATAGCCTCAGAACCCTCTTTTGTACTTTTTTTAAAAGTCCTAAGTGCCTCACAAATCACATGTCATTAAAAAATGTGCTGCCTTGACAGAAATCAGTGGAGGATTTAACATCATATCATCAGTATGTTTGTACTTTCTGAATAATTTTATTCCTTCATAAGCATGGGCTGTGAGTCTTGCTTTTCTCTCATTTTGTTACAACTGGAGGTAACAAATGTGATGAGATAGTATTGCTAAATGAATACTGGGAACAAAGTTCCAGATTTTCATAGCACTGCTCCATAGTAGCTATGTGCCCCTAGGCTGGTTACCTAAATTCGTTGGGGCTCCATTTCCTCCACAATATCATTGGGCTAACCACTTATAAAAAATACCAATAGGAGATGAAATGAGCAAGTATATGCATGCCAAGAATAGCACTTATGGTATAGTAGACACAGTAACGGGACTATTGTAGTGTTATAATTAATATATGAGTTAATTGGATATATACATATATTCATACATAAATGTGTATTTACTTCTAGCTTTTAAAAAAAGAAGGCATTATGTGTCTTTAAGTTTGTTGTAAATGTAATTGGCTGTCTTTAAAATAAAGTCACTTGGGTCATAAAGGCAAAGGTTTAAAAATATAACTAATATATAAAAATCGTTATGAAGGTAAAAGTTACTGTATTTTAGTTATTTAAAAATGATTCTTAAGATCGAACTTAGTCAGGAATACACACATCAGTCCAATCTATCACAGGTAAAATTTTGGCACGACTATTGACTATAATTGGATTTCTGAAAATGTCTTAGAACACCTTCATTTTGTTCACAATTTGCAAAGTGAACATTGACTTAATCTGAATAGTTTTTGAGTTTTTTCCCAGAGTTAAATGTTTAGGGCATATGTGAGATGACTTCTTTAACTTATTTCATGAGGTATAATAAATACCCATTGTTAACAGGATAGAATAAACAAAAATTGAGAAACTGTGTACTCATGACACTCTCTTGGATGTTGTTTAATTTAGATGATGGGCTTATTCATATTATTTTGAGAGTGTTTAATCCATAGAAGTGAAAGGAAGAAGAAAATGGACAAAAAAAATTTAAAGACAATAGAAGGTTCAATGTTTAGATTGGGATCTTTCTGTAAATGAAGTGATCAGATCAGTGAAAGTTTTAGGAAACACTTTTTCGGTTCTAAAATTGATGCCATAAAATTTCAGCAAAATTTAAAGGCTCTCCACAGTTAACTGGAAGAAGGAACAACTAAAAATGATAAATATTGTAGTCCTTGATATTAAGAATAAATCATTCAAAATTCTCTTGTTACTCCTAAACAGAATGATTTGTGAAAAAAGCAGAAATGCACTTTTCTCCAGGAAGTATTCTCTTCCTAATTACATTTACTCTACAAATTAAATTAAACTTGGGTAATTATAAAAGCTACTTCCTTGAGAAAACAACAACAAAGTAAGCACTATTATAATGGGTCCATAATATACTTTTTTTTTTTAAATATATTTTATTGATTTTTTACAGAGAGGAAGGGAGAGATAGAGAGTTAGAAACATTGATGAGAGAGAAACATCGATCAGCTGCCTCCCGCACATCTCCTACTGGGGATGTGCCCGCAACCC